AAACTAGCCCTCGTAACAAACGACTCCCCAGATTCAAAATCGTAAGAGTAACCTCAGACGAGAATACCAAAATTAAAACCTCAGACAACAAAAAGGTCCACAAGTCAAATATAAAACGTCCATTGTTTCAGATCCGTCCTGTCGACGACGATGAGCCAGGAAGTTCAAATACTCCCCCTGAATAAAAATCCTGGCATATTACCCTTCAAACTAGGAACAACTAGAGTTAAAGAAAAATCCCATACCTTTATTCACTACTTTGACCTGAAACCGATCCACGACGAGATACAGACTATTTCTTACCAATATGCACAACTCATCGATGCCGTACATAACGGACTGTCGAATCCTTACTTTATCGAACTATCAACAATAAATCAATCTATTAATATTCAGTTGCAACTGTCAATAAAAAAATATAACTCCATCGCTCCTGAAAAACGAATAAAAAGAGGATTAATTGACGGTCTTGGCTCAATACTCAAAAGCATAACAGGAAATTTAGACTCTACAGACGCAGAAAAATATGAAAACGCAATTTCTGTTCTACAAACCAATCAAGACAATGTTATTCAAAAACTAAACGATCAGATCTCATTATCCAAACACATCATAGAAACCTTCAATGAAACAGTCAGTTTATTAAAACGAAATGAAAATACGATGACGGACAGAATTAATAAAATTTCTTCAAAATTGTCAACATTTGTGTACGATTTCAATCACTACTTAGAGACAAAAGAAGCTTTCGAACAACTCAGTTCAACACTCCATATAATCTCACAAATATTGTCAGACGTAGAAAATGCCATCACATTCTCAAAACTGAATATAGCCCACACAAGCATTATCAATATTGATGAGTTAGAAGTATTGGTCAGAATCTTGGCAAATCAGTATATTCCCGAAAACTTGATATTTGGTATTGACCCTATTAACATTCATAAATATTACGATATACTAGAGGTAGGAACCTATCAAAAAGAGAGCAAGATAGTATTCGTGATCAAGTTTCCCCTTGTATTTCCAGAATACTTTACCTACTATCACCTATACTCAATCCCAACTCCCGATCAAAATACCCTGATTCCACCTGCACCTTACCTGACTATGAATGAAATTTACTTTCAATATACCGCTATGCCATGTGTGGATCTCCATGAAACATACTATTGCCAGTCAAACGACCTGCTCCTTGGAAACACAGGAATGGATTGTATATTCCAAATATTGAATATTGGCACCACCCCTTCCGGATGTTCACGAATTCCAATCCAAATCGAAAAGGACATCATCGAGCAAGTCAACGAAGCCCACTACATTGGAATATTCAAGAATTCAACCAGAATTCAAACAGTATGCAAGACCACAGATTTGGTGACCTTGACAGGGACATATCTGTTGTCGCTTCCCCCAGGATGTCTGTTCAGAACTCCAACAAATACCTACCTGAACGAAGCTACCGAAGTGCAGCAGCAACCCCTACTACTGCCAGACTTAACCCTGCCAAAATATGCAGAAACCGAGTTTATGCAGCCCCTGAAACTTCGAGACATCCCTCTTGACAAATTGAACGGACTTCGTGAAGAATCAGAACGAATCACACCTCTGGGTAAAATCACGCACACACCAACGGTGCATGCTTGGACAATCCCTCTGTATATTATCATCATAGTCTTCGCCTGTGTGTTTGTTACAGTTAAATACAAACACTTGCTGTCGAGAAGAAAGCCATCAAGCGATCTACAAGACAACCACACCGGAACATCGGACAACCCGTTTCCTTTGGAAAGAAAAACCATTTTTCCAAAGAAGAAATAGTTTTTCATCTTCGAGGGGAGGAATTATGTTGTAGAGAAATGCAACCTTGCTGTTTCTCCCGAGAAGAGTGCTGACCACGCTTTTATCCAACTTTGCCTAGAAGAACCAGAAAAGCATCAGTCTGATTGTAGCATCCGTATTGTAAAGTTTGAACTTAATAATTTTGTATCAGTTTATTGAATCGATGTCGAAATAAATTCTTTTTAAAAAGGGTATTCGAGTATCGATAAATATAATTCGGGACAGTGTATATTAAATGTGTATATTAAATGTATTTCCACCCTACCCCGATAATATCGGATTTAGTCATACACTTATTCGGGAATTAATCGGTTGAAAGGATGACGTCAATAATTTAGTCATTAGAATTGTGAATCAAACCAAACAGCAGTCTCGTTAAAGATTTCATCGCGTACGGGATTGAAGTGATATAAAAAAGAACTCGAATCATTTAAGAGTGGGAAATTAGAATTCATTAGTGATTGCATTTTCATTTGAGTGTGTGAAAGATGTATTTTTTCAAGATGGTAAGTGTTTTTGTATATAAATATGAATGAATACCTCGACGTGGTTAGTATTTTGCTTATAACGATGAAAAAAATTTGATTTTCGCTTTATTCACCAATACCGGGTGACACATACTTATGATATACCCCCTTTTCTCCTTTGTTTTTCTAGCTATATTTTTGAAATTTGGGACATACGCTCACTTTCTCACATTTTATGATTTCTCTTCATCTTTTGGTTTAACTGGAAATTATCAACTTTAGATTTTCAAATAATAAATTATTAGGCGACAGTTTAGTATAAAACTATTCTTACACCTAACCTATGAAGTGGAACACCCTGTATTTTATTCCATATTCGGTAAGGGATTATTATAAAAATGAACGATACCGGGTTTGATGAGTTATTTCAATTTCAAACGATCACGAAGATATTCGCTGAAGGAGTGTGACAGAGAAATAAGTTTGGATATTACGCCGTCCGCCGTCACACGCAGGCATTAGAAGTAGTAGATATATGCACGCAGGTATGATTACCTGTCAATTGAAGTTTGAACGATTTCTAATTTTGTTTTCGTTTCTTCAATAGTATCATCACTCAAACACCTTTCAATTTTATATTTCTTCAGAATTTTTCGGTCGATTATATACAGTGTTCCTCGTTAAGGGAAAAGGTGTTGGCTATCTGTTCCTTTCATTTATGACTAATGAAAATATGTAAAGGAATTTTAAAAAGTTTTCATAAATATTTCAGTTTCGTATTTCAAATAACTTTTATGAACTCGATTCTAAATATAATTAAAATTCGAGATATAATACCAACTATGTTTCAGATCGAAGAAACAAAATGTTTTTGATTGAGGGAAAAATTGCACAGTAGAGGAAACCAGCAACCGGTGTTTTTATTCCAGTTACGAATTATATTCGATATATTTCGAAGAAAAAAAAAATTATCGAAATTTTATATTTGTTATGGAAGGCGATATATTATCATGAAACATTTTTCGATAGCCACCTTCATGTCTCAATGGAGACACGACAGGTACCCTTACGAGGGGAGAGTATCAACCCTTGGCACCGGTAAACCCTCGTTGCAACCGGGGTAGGCGCCTGATGGGTTAGGTATATACAGTGTTTTTCATTAAGGAGAACATTGTTGGCTATCTGTTCCGTTCATTTCATATTTCTTCCAAATTTGAAATTTGTTATGGAAGGTGATTGGGCGTGCAAGCAGAACCCTGTAAGTCCACTTTTTTCGGAAATGAGGAATTTATCACACATAAGTCCATATTAGCGTAACGCTCCAGGCAAATAAACATTCAAGTCCATTTTGCGTTTGTTTCCGGAGATATAGTCAATGAAAATCCACTTAAGTCTAATTTCGTTATAATTTTACAGGTTGATTCGAATATTCAATTGTCAATTCAATTATATTATTTTCTGGACTTACATGATTCTGCTTGTACGCCCACGAATTATATTATAGAAACTCCTTTGATAGTCACCTTTATATGTCCCAATGGAGACACGACAGGTACCCTTACAAGGGGACAGTATCAACCCTTGGAGTTTCCCATTCCTCTCTAATATATATGATATTCAAAATAGGAAATTTATTACCAACTATGTTTACGATCAGAGAAGCAATAACGTGTTTAAAATCGACCATTTAGCTAGACCCAAGAGAACAATTGAACAAAAGAGGAAACGAGACCATAAACCAGCGACCGGTGATGAGTTCCATTATTTATACGAATTATATTCAATTTATTTCGAATTTTCGTGGTATTACTAAGCACTCATGGTAATACCTCTGATAGTTTTGTTTATACTGAGTACTCGGTTCGATTCTCTTTCTAACTGAAATGAAAATGGATGAAGGTGAAGTATCTGTCCTATACTGTAACTCATAGGAGTGGAGAAAAATTCCAGATCCAATTGAAACGTAACTAATGAAACAACATACCACAGTAATTAAAATGAATTGAGAGTGTGTTGCCCACGCTTGGTCCGATGCTCGTTCAGAACTTCTTTGCTTTTGTTGTGGTCGGACTACTGTGGTCAGACCTGTCGCTGAACGTAGCCCTACTGAACCTAAGGAAAAAACTGTCTGGTCGGAGAAAAAGTAGAATTTCGAAAGATTACAGAAATGTTCACTTTGCAAGAGATCAGTGATTTGCTCCGAACAAGTCTGTTGCATGATCGAAGGTGATTCGAGTTTATCGCTTAAAATGCACGATTCGAAATTACCGCTAATGATAAAATCAAAATCACCCAAGCGCAACTTTTCCACGTTTCGATTGTTCTATCGGTTCGTTCGCACGGATGTTTGGGCAAAAAGAATTCGTGCCGATGGACGAACTGCAAACTTCTTTGAATCTGTGATCAACATTTTGTTCTATGAAATTCATTTTGTTTTTGTTTACTTAATTTGTATGTTCCGTGTCAAATTTATTGTTGTAGTGTGGTTGTAATGTTGTTGTTACCTGTTCTGGGAAAGTAGGAAGTAATTTTATTTATTATTGTTTTCAATTCCTAATATTTAAATTTTTGATTGACGCCGGTGTTTCGATATCATGGCCCAGGTAAGTCACACAATTTTCAATCTTGTAGCCCATGTGTTGAATTCAACAGTACTTTTTGATTGGAATGGGTGAAAAATTATGTTTTCAGAATGCAATAGAACCGATGCAAGTAGACGCTCCTCCAGAAGACAACGATAACAATGAGGAAGATAACTACATAGTGGAAAATCCTTCCCTAGACCTAGAGGTTTATGCCAACAGCTACATAGGATTGACCAAGCTATACCGTCTGATCTATATAATAGATCATTGCCCGTCACTGAGACTAGAAGCCCTCAAAACAGCCATATCCTATGTTATGTCTACCTATAATGTCAACCTGTACCAAGTTTTACACCAGAAGTTAGGGGAGGTCACAACAGCCATGAGTGTTCCTGATGTTGCTGCTCCATCAACATCTCAAGACATACCAGTTATTGATAATTTGTGGATGGAGACTCGATCTAAAAAAGCGGCACTCAAGCTGGAAAAGTTGGACAATGACTTGAAGAATTACAAGTCAAATTCCATCAAGGAAAGCATTCGGAGAGGCCATGATGATTTGGGGGACCACTATCTGGACTGTGGAGATTTGTCTAATGCTTTAAAATGCTATTCAAGGGCTAGAGACTATTGTACTAGTGGGAAGCATGTTGTCAATATGTGTTTGAATGTGATCAAAGTTTCTGTTTACCTGCAAAATTGGTCTCATGTTTTGAGTTATGTATCAAAAGCAGAAAGTACTCCAGACTTTTCAGAATCACAGTCCAAAGACTCCAATCAGATCATACTTACCAAGCTCAAGTGTGCTGCAGGCTTAGCAGAATTAGCCACAAAGAAGTATAAGTCAGCTGCCAAACATTTTCTACTAGCCAATTTGGATCACTGTGATTTTCCAGAGCTATTGTCCCCTAGCAATGTTGCTATGTATGGGGGTCTATGTGCTCTTGCTACTTTTGATCGCCATGAATTACAGAAAAATGTTATTTTCTCCAGTTCCTTCAAGCTGTTTTTAGAACTGGAACCACAGCTCAGAGATATAATATTCAAATTCTATGAATCTAAGTATGCTTCCTGTCTCAAACTGCTGGACGAAATAAAAGACAATTTGTTGTTGGACATGTACATTGCCCCCCATGTCAACACCCTGTACACTCAAATTCGAAACAGGGCACTTATCCAGTACTTCAGCCCTTATTTGTCAGCAGATATGCGAAAAATGGCACTAGCTTTCAATAGGTTAGTATTTGGTGAGAAAAAATGAAAGCCTTTGGGGGTTACAATCTGGTAGGTAAGTTATTGCTCTTTTGCCCTTCACCTATACAATAATTGAAACTTCAATTTCCTTACCTATGATATAAACTGATCAAAAAAATTAAGGGTATTTTCAAAGGCAAAAGACAGGTATTGATAGCTATATCACATTTTTTTCTAGAAAAATTCCTTAGCAAAAACAACAGCCTTAATTTTTTTTCAGTCAGTTTCATAGTTTAGTATCTGTTATAATCAGCAGTTTGAATGAATTTTTCATGGGTTTTATATCCTCCCTAGGTACACATGACGTTCCATGAAAATTATAGGAATTTCCTCGGGAATTTCCTTTTGTGCGGTTGTGCGCTGCAATCTTGTTTCTGGTACATAATATTGTACAGGGTGATTCACCATAAATGTCCCCCCCCCTCTAGCTCAGTTATTTTTGTAGATTTCAAAATTTGAAATATTATCTCAAATGATTTTCAATAAAGATTTTTTTCTCTACATCAAAAAATACAGGGTGCTCGGAACAAATGATCTACAGGGTACTATTTGATTTTTTTTAATGGAATATCCTATTTTTCATTGTATTTCTAGATTCTCCCTGAAGAGCTGATTTGATCAATGTATCACACTTGGGGGTCTAGCGAGAATGATTACAGAGATATAGGGTGTTTAAAATCAAGATTTTTCAACTTTACAATTTTTTTGTGACGAAACTATTTATTATCGGTCAAAACGGCATTCATGTCCGTATCTTAACTTTTGATTTACTATCCACTGACATTAAATGATTGGAACAGATACAGGGTGAGCAGAATCCTGAATCTTGAACCACCCTGTGAATGTTCCAATTAAATGTCAGTAGATAGTAAATCATAAGTTGAGATGGGGATATAGAAGCCGTTTTGACCAATAATGAATAGTTTTGACACAAAATAATCCTAAACTTGAAAAATCTCGATGTTGAACACCCTATGTCTCTGTAATCATTCCCGCTAGACCCCAAGTGTGATACATCGATGAAATCAGCTCTCCAGGAAGAATCTAAAAATACAATGAAATACAGGGTGTTCCATTTGAAAAAATCAAGTAGTACTCTGTAGATTGTTTGTTACGAGCACCCTGTATTTTATGATGCAACGGGCAAAAAATTTCTGAAAAATCATTTCAGATTATTTTTCAAATTTTCAAATCGGTTCAAAAATGAGTGAGCTAGAGGGGGGGACATTTATGGTGAATCACCCTTCACAATAAAATACATTGTGTTTAGGGTTCGCAATCCCGGAGTGATAAAACAATCCCGGGATTTCGGGATCAAATTGATACGAACTCGGGATCCCGGTATCGTGGAGTAGAATATGAAATGAAATAAGTAGGGGGTATACTGTAGATACTCGTATATATAAATGTAATCAATTCATCAAAAACTAGAGATAAAAAAGGGCCGAACATTTATTACTCACAGTGTTGACTGAATAAGGAGTGTACGAAAATCCATTCGTTAAGGGTATTATCTGCGAGTCAAGTGCTGATTTTTGTGCAAATGGTATCTGCTGAGTAAAATGCACTCACATCCCAGGCAACCAGATGACGTCCCAGTGACGTCTTTTTTACGTCACTTGAATGACCAAGGTGACGGCAGTAGTTGACGTCGCATGACGTGATAATGACGTGAATAAGTCACAGCTCTATGACGTCATATTACTCACGTCGTATTGACGTCATTCGCTCATCAAACTGTGACATCCGACTGACGTCATAATGACGTCAAAATGGCGATTAAATTTGGCGATGCTACGTAAAAAATATTCTTTTTACATGGTGTGATAAACACCACTGGCCTCTGATGACATTAAGTATATAATATTGATTATGCATTTTTGAGTCTGCTTGGTGAGTCCCTCCTGTGTCATGTTCATTCAATCGCCCATTCAGCAGCGCTATCCTTCAGTACGCATCTCCATCAGAATGCAATCAGTTACTCGTATTTGTATCAAAAATTATGTAGTTTGTGTCGGCGAGATGTAAGCAAACAAAGAATATCTACCATTGTCGTTCATTTTATGAACTAGTATGTGGTAATGACTTTGAGTTTCTCTCTCTTTGTGACCATTGGAAACAAAGAATAGTTTGATAGCAATGGAAAGGATGTTGGCGAATTTGGCTTCACTTTGTTGCCTTATGTATATTGATGCATTTTTTGTTACCCAACAAAAATCTAAAAAGTGAATTATTGAAAAAATTTCTGCATGAAAAGCTCACCAAATTGGTACGTCACACCGACGTGATTTCTAGACGTCATAGATACGTCACTGCAACGTCATAAGAGTAACGGTTTCAATATAGGTATACACCTTAACAATCATTTGTATATACAGTCTGTCCAAGATACGGTTGAACAGCATGGGGATCTCGAAAACGGTAAGAGATACGAAATCGGTTAAATGGGGAAAAAGTTGCGCATTCGGAGGCTCATATCAAGAGCCTTCGAAAATTTTGAAAATTATTTTTAGTTTTTGAGTTATATCGAAAAAAGTGAATTTTTGGAATTTCTATTTTATTTTTTTTCTCCGTTATTATTAGAGATACAGCAAAACTGAGAATACTTTTTCATAGCAACTTTTGATGACGGTCAACGTGGTGATACCGATTTTTTCATGCGACGTTTCGTATTCGTGGAACCATCATCAACTTTTGTTTTTTAAATACGGTCCTGATAATTTTTTCACAGATTCTAAAAGGTTTTTTTATCCTGAATTCAACCATGTATTATACAAGGTGGTTCATTTGTGTTTCGACCTATTTTTGGTCATCATCAATGTTTTTTCGAAACTCCAAAGGAAAAATGCCATCAGTTCCACTTATTTTGAAGGAAAATTAGTCAACACACTATTACCTCATCAACTGGTTTCAATCAACAACCCATTTCATTTTGCGGAAACAAAAATTCCATCCATACACATTCAGAATATGTCAAGCGCTAAAACCAGGCGATGACGAAAGGCGCAAGACATTCTGTGAGTGGTATACCAGGAAATGTTAAAACTTTGCAGATTTCTTTCGAACAATCATCTGGACTGATGAAAGCATGGTCACTAATCATGGTAGCTTCGATAGAAAAAATACACATTATTGTTCACGAGAAAATGAACATTTATACATTACAGCGAGACACCAACACCGTTTCGGCTTTAATATGTGGGTTGCAATATTTGGTACACGAATTATTGTTCCTTCTATTTACCATGAAACACAGACTTCCGAACGTTATAGAAATTCGCTTGAGAATCATCTTGAGGAAGCTCTGGATGATTTACCGATTGCGGAAGTTCAGAACTCTGTTGGTTTCAACAAGATGGCGCTCCGGTACATAATTCCAGAGAAGTCCGTGCGTTTTTATCCCTTGGCCGGCGCGGTCGCCTGATTTGACACAGCTGGATTTTTTCTTAGGGGATATATCGAACTTTGTACACGCAAATACCTTTGAGGATGAAGAAGAACTAAGGGACAGTGTCTTCGAAGCATTCAATAGAATAACCCCAGAAATGCTTAGCAATGTCTTAGAAACAACTGTGAGAAGAGGATATCTTTGTTCAGAAAATAATGGTTATCATTTTGAACATTTGTTATGAATGTCTCTGTAGGTATTGTCAAAGTTAAGTTGTTGAAGTAATTCGTGTAAGAATTCATCAACAATTTTAAACGCTGCATTGATCGAATGATGTAGTGAAATATTTTTTATTCACTTTTCAGTATTGAATAACTAATCCATCAAGTTTGACACTAAATGATAAGAAATAAGTGGAACTGATGGATTTTTTCTTTTGGAAGTTCGAAAAAACATTGATGATGGATAGAAATAGGTCGAAACACATTCGAATCACCTTGTATAGTACATTGTTGAATTCAGAATAAAAAAACCTTTCAGAATCTGTGAAAAAATTATCAGGACCGTATTTAAAAAACAAAAGTTGATGATGGTTCCACGAATACGAAACGTCGCATAAAAAAATCCGTATCACCACGTTAAACCTCATCAAAAGTTGCAATGAAAAAGTATTTTCAGTTTTTCTGTATCTCTGATAATAACGGAGAAAAAAAATAAAATAGAAATTCCAAAAATTCACTTTTTTCGATATAACTAAAAAACTAAAAATAATTTTCAAAATTTTCGAAGGCTCTTGATATGAGCCTCCGAATGCGCAACTTTTTCCTCATTTAAGCGACTTCGTATCTCCTACCGTTTCCGAGATCCCCATGCTGTTCAACCTTATCTTGGACAGACTGTATACATAGCTTGTTGGTTTCCGAGATATACAGTGTGTTCTTCTACTTTTTGGGTATATTGATAATTCCAATGAAACTTACATGTTGATTTGCTTTCATGAGTTATACTTCTGTTTCATTTTCATATGATAATATATAAGTATGCATAGTTTAGAGAAGGTCTGAGAAAAATGGACGTCGACAGGACGTTCCTGCAACGTCATGATACTGACGTCTTCTTTTACCCATCTAAGTAACGTTCACTCGACGTCGAAACGATGACGTGATTATCACGTCATAGAAAGTACGTCATAATGACTTCATAAATTGGTGTGTGACGTCTCTGACGAAAAATCACCAATTAGGGACGTCATAGTGACGTGATCATTCGAGTATTTTCACCTCTGGCACGAAAAATTTCTTGGCCACGACGGCTCCTACTTAAAATAAGAGACCTTATGTCATTTTGATCAGGGTCTTCCCATATTTGAATTAGTCTCTGCCGAACGTCTTCCAAAGTATTCGAGTTAAGTTCCTCTCGTAATCTTCTTCCAAGAATATCCCAGAGATTCTCAATGGGGTTCAAAGTCGGGCTTCGTGCTGGCCATTCCATGGTAGCCATACCGACTTACTTCCTCTATACAGGGTAACTCACGGTCGATGGTACGTTAGACGTTTATGGAGAACGCAACGCAGGATTTTTCTGAAAATTTCGCATTTTACATTTTATCACCTGTTCTATCGATCTAAAATATTTTCGAAATTGCGACGTTGCCGTTTCTATCGAAAAGTCCTAGCAACTTCATTTTTTTTAAATGGAACACCCCGTATATTAACAAATTGCAGGATTAGTTAATGAAAACATCCTGTAACTCATTTGATTGCCAATGTCACCAATTGTCACTGAGAACTGAAGAGTTTCAAGACAGATACGAATTTGCTATTCAAGTAACCATTTTTTATGTTGAAAACGGGAGCAGATTCGGCCCCGAAACGTCCAAAGCTATGTGAAAATTTGATATTTTTTCTATATACCTCTATTTCTCTTCTCCAAACCTTTTTCAATACAAATTGTCACTGACAAGCTAGTGAATTTTTCTTTGAGGCTCTCTGATAGGAACATTCTTTAAACGCAGTGACATTTTGGGGCAAATTATCTGATTTGTCCTAACTACACGTATATTGAAATAATATTCATATTTTTATTTTATAGAAACGAGGAGAGAAAATCACAAAAAATCTGGAATAATAATTGTTATTTATGTATCAAGGGCGTAAAGTAGGCGTTTATGGCCTGTGGCGTGAATAATGGCCCGATGGCGCTAGCCGAGGGCCATTACACGCTGAAGGCCATAAACGCATTTCACGCACGTGATACATACAACATTTTATGCACTAGTGGTTCATTTCCTGACTCAAAAGTGATGACTATAGATTTCGATAAACTAATATTCCCCCGAATTTGATTTGTTACGTATAAATTCAGTAATCAAGAGAAGCGTAATGTTCATGGATGATTTACATATGAAAATTATCGTACGAATATTGCAATTATCGTAATAGTAAAACTCTTTGATCTCTAGAAGTGATTAATTTTTCAGAATTTTACAATATGCATACCCAGTATATATACCTAACTAATTTTGACGTTGTCAATCAATCAGATGGTTGTTGTCTATAACAATACATCCAAAAAACGAGCTGAATTGTCATTCTTTGACTGAAAAGTAAAAATTACTGATAATAATAGTAGTGAGATATGGAATCGGATAAAGAAGAAGTTTATGATATACTGCTGGTTATATATACTAGAATCTATAAAAATGATCATAGGTTTCTCATGAATTGATATGTGGATATAAGGTAACTCAGAAAAGCGGGCGGTAAAGTGCACTTTACGGCCCGCTGGTGCATAATAGTAGATTGTTTTATTAGGATCAAAAGTGACACTTTGTTTGACAAGCGAATTTTGCATTTGCGAGGCGGAGCGTTTAGCGAAGCCGAGCGAAATAATAGTGATTATTTATTCCTCTCCATACTACACTGTGTTTGACTTGATAATCAAATGAAACAATATCGTTGTTCGAGACAAAAAAAACTATTGCTTGCCGTGATTATACAAAAACAAGTTATCCATCCCGAGAATAACGAATGAAATACAGATCAAGCAAGTATTTGAATCTTGAAGGCTTCCCTGATCAAAACAAGAATACTTAACTGAGATGTTCATAATTCCAATACTAAACTATAATAAGGTGTATTTATATCTCCAGCATGGGTATGAAATGCCAAATCTGCTGAAATCGGAAACAAATCAGGTATGCGTCTCAACCCAAATAACCAACCATCACAATGTTGTTTATTCTTGATGACGTCCAGTAGATCCTTTTTAGTTCCTAGGAGCTAAAGTTCAACTTTAGCTCCTAGGAACTAAAATTCAACTTTAGCTCCTAGGAACTAAAACTCAACTTTAGCTCCTAGGAACTAAATATGTTGCCTAGCAACATACCTTTTTTGTGTCAGTAATAGATACGTCAATTCAAGAGCTAATTTTGGTATTATAATGGACGACTTTTGTGTCGGTTGCAGAAAAATATTATTATTATTATAACACCGAAACATGTCCCTTATGATTATGTAATAACATCATTAAAATTCGTGGAGATGACTTCGAGCATTCCTTTTTTCCTTTGAAAAATTTCACAACTTGAGCAATATGGACTTCTACCAAAGATTTTTATTTCGATATTCATAGGACTGTCCCAGCCCTCGAAGACGAACTGATGCAACTGATACTGGAGGGACAGATCCAGGCGCGCATCGATTCGCACAACAAGATCCTGTTCGCCAAGGACGTGGACCAGCGGAGCACCACCTTCGAGAAGAGCCTGCTGATGGGACGGGAGTACCAGAGGCGGACGCGCATGCTCATTCTGCGAGCCGCCGTTCTGAAGAACAAGATCCACGTCAAGGTGATTTTTATTGTTTTTTTTTTGTTCTCCACCAACAGGAATACGAACAGGATGAACTCAGAGACAGTCATAGTGGAAGGAGAAGATGGTGTGCCTACGCGCATATTATGTGACGTCATCTGGTATACCAATATCAGCTGCTAGTCACAGACAGATACCATTGCCATGGGCGTGCGCAATGAATTCAATCATGTTTATTGAAATTTCTATAAGTTTCTCGATCTGTTTAGAAATAAATTCAATTCATATAAACAGGTACCTATTCCTTCGATTTTACTGTTGATTCTGAAAATTGTGATCTTGAGATAATTCGCAATCGCAAATAGCAAATACATACGAATTATCATGCATTGCCAATCCCATCTGATTCATCTGAATGATCCACTACTGTGTCGATTCTGACAGATTAAAATTCAGCAGTTAACGACGTTGACGTTGCTTCTGCTCCGACATCGACAACAGGAGTATCAATTTTTGCCGTTTTCAAATTCAAAATTTCATTCAAATCTTTGCTGCAATTTATATTTTGTGAGAAATTAAGAGTTTCGAATTCATTTTCAATTATTTCTGACTTGATATTCGGAAGATGTTCTGTAGGAATGGCATCTTGTTTCAAATATTTGTGATTTTTTGGAGGTGTGTAATTCAAGAACCGTACTTTCGCACTTGTTTGGGAACATTTTGCATGGAAATGTTTTGAAGAAATACGTGCTGTAATATGAATGTGATGATAATATGATAGGTGAATACTTTGGAATGAGGATATAAGGAATATAAGGTAGGTACCATTATTTGAGTTTATATTCTGTCGGCAGCAAGCTCCCATCGTTTCATTAGGTCTCCATTCTTGGAAAAGCAGAAAAATTCAATAACTGTGCCTTTTGTATGTTAGTTGGAATTTCCATAACCAGAAACGAAACTAGTAGGCATCTCGAAAATATTTCATTCAATTTTAGTACTTATATAATATCTGAAGTTCGAGACATCAATCACGAAAACAAATAATAACAATGACAGTTATATCCCAGCTGACGTCATGCGCAGAACAAAACGAGTTTGAGCTTTCTGTTGAGCACACCATAATATTCTCCTTCCACTATGGAGACAGTGTTCGCAGCATATTATGGATAATCTCTATCTGTTTCCATAGCGCAAAAGGAAGCCGTTTTTTGAAGACAAATGACTATCCATAAGCATAAGGTGATATACTGCGCATCTTCAAATGCGCAAGTTCAAATGACTGACACATCATTGTGACATCTAACTTATTAATCTTTGACATACCATTTATGAATATTTATGCACAAAGATCTAAAATACCTGATGCTAGGGTCCCTTGATGGTAATTGACGTTAAAGTCATCTTAACAGGGTACGGACAGATCCTCGTCTCCTCTCACTCTAAAGCGTTTGTGAAACAGTTATACAGGGTGTCTGTAAAAGGTCTTTACAAAAACATACCACATATACCTCAGACCAAAATAAGTCGATTTAAGTGAAATTACCTCAGTACAAAGTTGCATCGTTTGGGCTCCAGAGAGCCTTGAAGTTACAATTTTTAAATCGTTTTTCCCATATAAATTTAAAATGGCATATGCGGTTTTGTTTAAATTTGGTATATTGATAGTTTTATGTGGCAAAAAAATGGTGTCAAAATTTTGTCCGATAATAATACAGGCGTAGAACTTGATTTTTTAAATAATTGCACCTTTAAAAATTCTACGCCAATGGAAGAAATGGAGTTTGAGTATGAAATTTAGATTGCGCAACTCATTTACTTTAATAAAGTACTCATGATAAGACTGGATTTCTCTCATGGATTTGACGAAATTTGCATTTTAGTAATTTTAGAACATAAACAATAATTATCAATATACAAACTTTGTCAGAACCATATGAGAGTAAATCGAGTGTTATCAAGGGTACTTTTTTGTAGTTAATGAGCAGTATCGGCTCCTCAGAGGAGGCAACGGAGGCTGAGCCTCCTCAGAGATTTTCCTCAAACTAATATTATTTATACTTCCTCATTAAAAGGACACCAAAATACATGGATTTTGATTTTATTTCCTGTTTTTAGTTAAATATTTTTGAATTGGCAACAGTGCTTGCCCACGCATCACACGTTGAAGTCTGCAAATCACGCGTAAAATATTCAACTTGGCAACATCTATAGGAGGCTAGACTCCTTCAGATTGCGCAGCCTACGCGCGCAATACAAATGCCCGAATACGCCCGACTAGCACGTGTTTGTCGTGTCGCTTCGCGAATTGCAGACAAACGCGAGTGCATTGTTTATGTTTATGTTAGGTTAATGGTTAGGGGCTCTGTAAATTTTTGAAAAATGAGTGTTTTAAACGATTGCGATTTAGTGGAATACTTTTTGGTGAACCCATTCAGTGCTTTGTCTTATGAAGATAAATTGATTGTAAAAAACAAACGTCCGACACTGGAATTAAAAAATCTGATTGTAACAGGTAAAAACAAAATCGTTCGTTCAATACTGATAATTATAAAAAATATATCTGGCTGACGGGATCTGAGGTAAGGAATAAGCTATTTTGTTGGTACTGCATATTATTTTCAACCAATAAGTCATCATCTTGGGGGCGATTGGGATATAATAATTTGAAAAATATGCCTGGAGGATTGGATAGACACTGCAAATCACAGGAACACATCTCTTCAAGTATCAAGTTCAGGTTAACTGGTAAACAGAATGTCATTAAAGCTATTGATTTGGGTGAGTAGAGAGTTGTTTTTCACAATAAATCTCATATCATTCAGCCTCCTCTGTCATGAAAGTCACGAGCCGCCACTGTTAATGAGTACCCAATCCAAATTTCATACTCAAACCCCTTTTCTGCCATTGGCGTAGAACTTGATTTTTCAAATAATTGCACCTTTATAAATTCTACGCCAATGGGTTCAATGCTCACATAAAAAAACACATTTTTGTATGTTGTTCAGAGACAAGTGAAACTTATTTGATGAAATTTAGCAATAGTGTATGTCAGAGGATTACTTTGCTTTTGGTAATCAAAGAAACCTAAAAAAAAATTGTAGAAGGGTTTAAACCACCCTCACCCCTGACATTTTTTTCAGAACTTTTTTTTGGGGTCATAATACGGTTCTGAAATTTTTTGAGCTTCAAGACTAATCAATTACCATCATTTTATTGATCTTGTAAAAATTTCATATACCGCATAGTTTCGAAGATAAAAAATGTTCTCTCAAATAATGCTACATGAAATTTGTAACTTTCTAGTGAAATATCTAGATAAATAATGGTTTGTTCACATTTTCATCATCAAATTCGTGTCTTCCAGACAAAAATAAGAAGTACCAAAAAAAAATTTACGAAAAAAAACCCTTTTCATGATAAATGCAGTTTTACCATTTTTTCTTACCTTTGGATAAACCAGAAGCTATGAGCACCTATGAGATATTACAAATTTTTATTTTTGAATGTTTCAACGACGTAGATTACGGATCCATCAGAGCCTTAATTTCGGAAATTCAAGATGGCGGACCGATTTGTCATTCATCGTCTGACAAGAGACAGGAAATTTAAAAACAAAAGGGAATACTTTTGAGGTATCAAAAGAGCTAAGATGATAACGTCTTGAAAATTTGTATTTGTGACTGGATTTTTTGTCAAACTTAGAAGTAATGGTGCCAAGAAATTAAATAAAATATAAAAATTTTGTTTCAGAGTCCACAAAGAGAGTCTGGACAAACTGGAGAAATCACCGTCGCTCCAGGTACAAGTACTGTGTTGACTGCGCGTAGTTAATTTTCGAACTGTGTTAATTTTTGAGCCATGTATCATAATTTTGTTGCGAGAATCAAATTTGTTTCATATTTAGAATGTCTATAATATACCTACTCGCTGGTCTCGAAATTTGTTTTTTTTCACGGCTTTGCACAAGAAACTTTCTGATAGAAAACTCTTTTCTTTATCGCATACATTGATGCCCAATTCAAGTTTCAGGCAGGTTAAAAAATTACGACTATTTTCTATTAAAGCTAGAGAGCTGAAATTCTGATCCGCACTAAGTAATCTATGTAGGACCCTGTATACCGAAATTGAAGGTCCAATAACGAAGTTGATTTTTATACCTGTAAAAAAACAATGAAAAAAATTTGATTTGGTTGCGGCGTTGCGAAGTTATAAATGATAAACCCATTTTTACTACTATTGAAGGGTCATGTTGAATTGGGTATGGTATATTCATTTATTAAAATTTTGAAAATATTTTTGGCATACAGTAGTAGCAAGGTCTCACGTACACCAATCCAGTGATTTTGCGAGATGATCCTTTACAGGGTGCTAAAATTTACATTCTGAATAATGTAAGATTCAGACGACGTTCGTTAGAATTTTTCAAATGGAACACCCTGTATTTTTCATTACAGATTTATTTCGACATCATTCGACTTCATTGCTGAAAAAAAATCGAAATCGGTTGCGGCGTTTTCAAATTATGAGTAATTTCCTTATGCTTATCACTATCTCAGGGCTAATTATAAGGCATGGTTCTTTTATTTGATTTGAGTGTGGGAATATTGCTTGCCACATGACATCCGAGGTTCTCCATAGATCATTCAGGTATTTCTGCGATATGTGCATTGTCCAAATTTGAAATATTCCGTAATCTTGTTACTTATGACTTAAATAATATGTGAAAAACAAACATGACAGAAGCAACACCTGCCTTTAAAACAACTTCTACAATACAAACAATGGAGATTTGGATTGCGAGAATAATTTTTTAAAATTTGGACCACTCTTATTGTCGTTATTCCCACAATCCAAATCTCCATTTAACTTGAAGGAGGCAAACTCTACATAATGATACAAACAATATTTCTTCACTACGCGGGTTTCGGGAGGGAATTCAGCAAATTTTTAAATAAATTCAAGATATATTTGATTGTGGCGATGTTTGACAGGTCCTTACACAAATAATGGAAGTGTTTTTCAAAAAATGTATTCATAGTCTACAAAAAATCTGTGAAAGTAGCATTTTCGATCAATTTGTCAAAACCCACTCTGTTTCAAATTCAAACTTGAAATATATGAATGGTCAATGGAGAAATTTGGTTATACCGTAGCAACGCAATATTTCCACAATACAAATTAGTGGAATAACTATGACGTACAAATTACCCCGAAATAGTAGTAAAAGTAAGGAAATTATCCATAATTTGACAACGCCGCAACCGATTTCGATTTTTTTTCAGTGATAAAAAGGCGAAAGATGTCGGAATAAATTTGTGGATAAAAATACAGGGTGTTCCATTTGAAAAATTCTAATGAATGTCATTTGAATCTTGCAAAATTCTGAATGCAAATTGAGCACCCTGTTGAAGAACATGTCACAAAATTACTGGATTGGTATACGTGAAACCTTGCTACTACCGTATGCCAAAAATATTTTCAAAATTTGAATAAATGAATATACCATGCCCAATTCAACATCACTCTTCAATAATGGTAAAAATAGATTTATCAATTATTACTTGGCAACGCCGCAACCGGTTCCATTATTTTTACAGCAATGTGAAGGTACACCTCGGCAGAATAAATTCCGAATAAACAATACTGGGTGTTCCATTTAAAAAAACTCGTCTCCGAGTCGTCCCGCTTTTATAAAACACCCAGTAATGTTGAAACGAGCAACTTCAGTAACTGAAGTTTTTCTCTATAGGTTATGGCTTTCGAGATATCGAAGAATTACGCACTAAATGGACATACTGTACTACATCTCATGACATCGATCTCCATTCAACTGAGGTACTTGATGGAGCTATTTTTTATTAGAAAGTTATCTACTGCAAGAAAAGAAAATCAGGTACAAAATGTCTACATTTTTCCTATTGAAGCAACAGAGCTGTGCTTTTACTCCGCACTAGGACCCTGTATATCAAATTTGAAGGCTTTACCACAAAGTTGATTTTTGGGCCTGAAAAAGAAACAACCAAGGTGTCAGAATAGGCTGAAAACTTGTACTTTCTCGAGATATCTGCGATCGTAATATCTAAAAAATTGTCTGAAAGATCGCTGAAATGATGGCAAAGATTTTTTTCTTCAAGGCAAAATACGTGACATTGAACTTCAGTCATTTGAGGTACTAGATCGAGCCATTTTCATTGGAGGTACCGGAAGGAAAGAAAAGCAGGTCGAAAACTGCAACTTTTCTTCCTTTCAAAGCTAGAGAGCAGTGTTCCTACTTCGCATTAGGACACCCCTTAAGGACCCTGTCAGAATGTTCTGAAAACTTGCATACAGGGTGTTCTCCGAAGTCTGTTTATTTTTATCTCTATTGGTTCTCGAGATATATCTGCGATCAAGAATTGAAATGATGGCAAATAATTGTTTTCTCGAATACGTGAATAAACTGTTCCGGCAAAAATTCAGCATCGATATCCATTCAATTGAGCTATTTTTTATCAAAGGTACCGCATGGAAAGAACAGCAATGGCTTCTTTTTTCCTATGGAAGCTACAGAGCTATGCATTAGGACATCCCTTGAAAACTGTGCATACCAAATTAGAAGGCCCTACGACAAAGTTGATTTTTGACTCTGATGAAAAAAACAAGGTTATCTATTCCCTTTGAATGTCAGAATGGACTAAAAACTGGTACACAGCATGTTCACGATGTGCTGAACAAGAATTAGAATTCAGTTTATCTCTATCTTTTGTAGTTTTCTAGAAAACCGCATCCAAAAACAGTAAATTTTCTGCTGAAAGATCGCTATAATTATACCATTTCGTGTGCAGAGTACCTGAATCCACTCAGTTTTGCTAGAATTTCACTGGTTTTTGTTGGTATCGAAGATCTAACAAGAATTCAGAATAAAATGTGGTCAAAAATTGCGACTCAATCAATCAATCAATCAACTTTATTATTCCCAAGAAATAACATTTGTTTATAGCAGGGAACATAGTGAATACATAAATATTTTGAAAAAATAAAATAAAGAAGACAGTAAAATAAGACTCACACTCACAAAGAATCTTTTTTTTTTTCAAGTTCAACTGAAAATGATTCTCAATTGACTCAGCTGTTAGGTACCCAATTGAAAACTATAGTAGTTGTACAAGAAAACTATAAAAATGAGATAAGATGTCAATATTACAGGAGTAGATGTTTCTTGAATTCTCTTTTAAATTTTTCAATCCTATTAATCAGCTTCAAGTTATTTGGTAGTGAATTGTATTGTATCATTCCATTGTGATAGATGGATTTTTTACCAATATCTGATTTAATTTTCTTGACAGAAAAATGATCTGCTTGTCTGGTTGTAAGGTTGTGGTGATTACTATTGATTTGGAAAACTCACTCTTTTTATTGCAAGCTGTACTTCTACTCAGTTCTAGGGCATCCCTTGAGGACTTTGTATACCAAATTTGAATACTTACCCTACGATATAAGTCTTTGCGACAAAGTTGATTTTTTCATCCTGAAAAAAACACCTTTTTTCATTAATCTTCGTAGTTTTCTCGATAATCGCATTCAAAATGATTGAATTCGAAAAAAAGCAGAAAATATTACAAGTTAATAATTCTGTAACTCTTTATTGCACATTCTCTAAAATATTAAAACCTACACCTATCTACAATCATATTGGATCATCATAGGAACTGAAAAAGCAAGATAGAATATTAATATCACTATAAAGAAATGTTTTTCCCCTTTCAATCACTTCAACAATTCATTTAATTTAGGACAAATTCGATATCAATATTCGAGAATCAAGAAATTATAGATATATATTTGACCTACTTACTTGAATCCAACATCAAGCAAAGATTTGAAAAATTACATATTCCTATAATATAGGTAGGTACCCTTCATAATCTGAAATATCACAGAATTTTTCTATAATCGGATACCCCTATTTCCAGTGGAAGAAACAATGAAATAACTTTTAATACCAACAAAAATCTACGAAAGAACTACAATTGATGTTATTTCTTTCCTATTTTATGATTTAAAAGAATGATAACAAGAGACAACAAGAAAAGAAACTCATTTTCGTCGAAAAGTGGATGTTACTTTCTAGAGTATTTTTCGACTCATGCGCATCGAGTCCAAGAGCCGGCTGCAAATTTCGACCGGCATCTGAAGGAGATAATATACAGTGTGTCCCACTAACCATGCTCACCATGGGTATCTTTTTAACGGTGAGAGATACGAGGTCGGTTAAATGACACCGAATGTGGAGTTTGTCAAGGCCAACTATAATGTGAAAATATATTTTGATAAAATTCATTCGTTTTTGTTTTATACGCAAAAAACAGATTTTGATCATTTTCATGTCTCCTCCGTAACTTCTTTATTTATGAAAATATTCGAATAGGAATTTCACATTCTCATGGCAGTTTTTCAAAGTGATTTCGAAAAAGATATGAAATTTATACCAACTCTTCTAGAATTTGAGATATCAGCACCAACTTTAGTTTTTCAAATGTAGGTCATAGCTCACTATGACTTAGTTACAAATAACTTTTTTTTCTCTTACAGATGATATGTCGCAGTAATAGTTTTGTTCTGATTACAACGGAGTTATCGTCATTCATACAAAAACAAAAAATTATTTGGAAGCCACCATCTTGAATTTATAAATTTCAACAAGAAAATCATGATCTCCGACCTCAAAAACCTCCACTTACCAATTTTGAATGGAATCGGACCAAATCTTGTCCGCCATCTTGGAGCAGCAATTTTTTTTAATTTCAACAAAAATTCCATAATGTATTGTCACTGAAATTATGAACACCTGCCAAATTTCAAGTTAATCGGAGTTATGGAATTTTTGTTGAAATTAAAAAAAATGGCTGCTCCAAGATGGTGGACAAGATTTGGTCCGATTCCATTCAAAATTGGTAAGTGGAGGTTTTTGAGGTCGGAGATCATGATTTTCTTGTTAAAATTTAAATTCAAGATGGTGGCTTCCAAATAATTTTTTGTTTTTGTATGAATGACGATAACTCCGTTGTAATCAGAACAATTACTGCGACATATCATCTGTACAAGAGAAAAAAAAGTTATTTGTAACTAAGTCATAGTGAGCTATGACCTACATTTGAAAAACTAAAGTTGGTGCTGATATCTCAAATTCTAGAAGAGTTGGTATAAATTTCATATCTTTTTCGAAATCACTTTGAAAAACTGCCACGAGAATGTGAAATTCCTTTTTGAATATTTTCATAAATAAAGAAGTTACGGAGGAGACATGAAAATGATCAAAATCTGTTTTTTTGCGTATAAAACAAAAACGAATAGATTTTATCAAAATATTTTTTCACATTATAGTTGGCCTTGACAAACTCCACATTTGGTGTCATTTAACCGACCTCGTATCTCTCACCGTTAAAAAGATACCCATGGTGAGCATGGTAAGTGGGACACACTGTATACATGGTAACTCACGGTCGATGGTACGTTAGACGTTTATGGAGAACGGGACATAGGATCATTCTGAAATTTTGGTTACTCACGTAGTTGCTCTTGGTCTATCGAACTAAAATATTTTCAGCTCTGCGGCGTTGCCGCTTCTATCGAAAAGTAGCAACAACTTTGTTATTTTGAATGGAACACCCTGTATTTTATTGCATTTTCAGATTCTCTCTGAAGAGCTGATTTCATCGATGTATCACACTTGGGGTCTAGCGGAAATGATTACAGAGATATAGGGTGTGAAAAATCATCATTTTTCAACTTTAGGATTTTTTTTTGTCGAAACTATTCATTATTGGTCAAAACGGCTTGCATGTCCCTATTTCAACTTTTGATTAACTATCTACTGATATTTAATTGGGACATATACCGGGTGATCAAGATTCTGAATTCTGCACCACCCTGTATTTGTTTCAATTAAATGTCAGTAGATAGTTGATCAAAACTTGAGATAGGGACATGTGAGCCGTTTTGACCAATAATGAATAGTTTCGACAAAAAAAATTTCTAAAGTTGAAAAATGTTGATTTTTCACACTCTATATCTCTGTAATCATTTCCGCTAGACCCCAAGTGTGATACATCGATGAAATCAGCTCTTCAGAGAGAATCTGAGTTTAAAATAACAAAGTTGTTGCTACTTTTCGATAGAAGCGGCATCGCCGCAGAGCTGAAAATATTTTAGATCGATACCCTGTATGTCCCGAAGGTATGTGTACAGGGTGGGCCAAATTGGGCACTTTTATAGGGAAAGTCCTTTTCCCGTACAAGATAGAAAAAAACTGATTTTGGTGCCTCTTGATCAATTCACATGAGAAACTCAAAGGTGAAAACCGCATATCGATATCTATCTTTATTTCAGAGCTACAAGGTATTTTTCAAAAATATGAAATTTTGAAAAGTACTCTTTTTTATTTGTAAAAACTTTCATCGCGTTGTTGTGTTTGTCATGAAAATTGATCCTCAGGCACTGAAATCAGTCACCACAGCCGTCTTCAACTAACAAGCCGTGAAGAAGCAGTCTGGCAACATTGTCCGAACGAGCGAACTTGTATTGTGTAGGAAGTAAACAAGGAGTTTATGGAAGGTTTTTTAAAAGTTTTCAATTATTAATTGAGATCAAATAATTTTAAAAGTATTAGCAACAATCTAGGAATCGACTCGAGACTGAAAGTGTGTGGCAAGTGCATTCAAAATTGTGTTAAATTGGAGGTTATAGTGAAGTGTACTAGTGCTGGTGTATTTGCAAGGGAATTTGTGTTGTTTTTTCAATTTACTCCTGGAAATAAGTAAGTTATTCCTTATGAAATATGCCTTCTCATTGTTGTGTGCCAGGATGTAAGTCAAATTACAGCTCTGAAAAAAAGCTGGGAAAGGATCATGTCTCAGTTTTTTTATTCCCAAAAGGGGAAGAATTGCGAAGTAAGTGGATAACAGCAATACCTCGAAAAAACTGGACACCATCTCAACGTTCTACAGTAGGTATGTGCAATTCATTTTATTGAAAAAGATAAATCATCAGGTATGATACATTCCCTCTGCCAGATGGATCAATTGGAAAAAATCTGTTACGAGCACCAAAGTTAGTCAAAACAGCAGTTCCTTCAATTTTTCCAAATTTACCAAAATATTTTTCAAAACCAGCCAAACCATCAAGAACTGATCCAAATGAAAGACGTCAGAAATATTTAGATATTCAAAGTAATATAATAGAACAGTTTGAAAAATCAGACCTCATCCACAACTATGAACAGTTAGTTAGGGAATATGTTGAGAAATTTGAAATTGATACTTGGAAAATCCATAAGACTGATGATAAATTGTATTTTTATGAATTAGATTTGCAAGCAAATGTTTTTTATCCCAATGATGTAAATACTTTACAAATTGTTTCTCAAGTTATAATATCCAATGAGATGGAGGTCCAAGTTTTTCTTGGTGATAATAAACTTGGATTCAATGAATTGAAATGGATTCTTACTCATGATATGAAATTGAATAGATGGTCACAACTTGAAAATATTCTAGCTAGATTCAAAAACATCTCCTGACCTGAACACTCAGATATGAATGAAAAATTCGATATCTCCATAAGTTTTATTTTAACAAAATGTTCAAAATTACGGCTTCAGTTCATGTCCAAGGGAATTATTCAACCACATTATTCCTCGTTCTTCACTCTGTAAGTTCACTCTCCTGTATTTTTTACCTATTGGACAAAATAATCCGAGAAAATTACGTTAAACCAAACATTCAAAGCTCGCGCTCATATAAAAACCATTGTATTGCTAGGCTCGAATGGGACCGACGGTTTCCGTTCGTGCGACGTTGCCAGTATCTCAGCACGGCTTGTTAGTTGAAGACGGCTGTGCAGTCACCGTATACTCAGTTGCAAAATAGAACTTTCCTTACAAGAGGAACAAGTTATATTCTTCAAGTAGAAATAGGATGACCGATTTCAGTGCCTCGAGAACAATTTTTATCACAAAATCAATTCTTTGCAGTTATTTTCATAGGTACAGAAAATTTTTGCCAAAAAAATATCTGTAGCCACTTTTCAAAAATGCCAATTTTCGAAAAACACCTTGTAACTCCGAAACGCATATATAAATCCCCCTATATCCTTAAATTGATCTGATGTAGGAAACAATTGTTGTCATGTCAATCAAAACACAAATTAGTTAGTGTAATTCTCAGAGCGACAGACAGAGTGTTACTGTCATTTTCGATTCAGTGGAATTGCGATGAGAAACTTCCAGCTACAGATGCGATACAGATGAGTTATAACCAACGAAGTCTTAAGAAAGGTATGAGAAGCATTAAACGGGATTTATTGAATGGTGCAACAGTAAAGAAGTAAAAAGACCAGATAAAAAAGAAGTATTTTTGGCTCATTTCCTAGAAATGTTTGAAATCTAGAGGCCAAACATCATGGGCATGCTGGCTTCCGCAATAAGCTTACCTACATAATGCTTCAAACGGTACACACAATAGATATATCACTAATCATTAGGAGATAGAGAATATATCACTATTGTTAGTTGTTCCTATTTGCAGGAATAATTGATTGAACAAATCAATCAATTTCCTACGCTTGTAGAAAAAATATTATTCCTAACTCATGCGGAAAGTGTCTTTCCCGCACTCGACTGCTTGCCCGAACTCTGCTTTGCGTCATTTGGGTCAACGGCATTCGCGTGCGGGAAAGAATTACTTTCCGCACTTGTTAAGAAAATTACTATTCCCAATTTTCGAAATGAAAGGTATTATTTGAAGTTTGATTTCCTACCAGTTTTCTCAGAATAAATTGTTAAACACGAAGAAAAACCGCTAGTATTATTGTATTCATACCTGTTGTGCTGTGTTATGCTCTGAAAAACTGGAATATATTTTTTCAGTTTTCGAATTATAACTGAAAATGGTGGAGAAAAAACATCAAAAGCAGTTATTTCACTGTTTCTCAAACTAAACTGCTCTACATTTGAAGTGAGACAAGCGAATATTTTGTTAGTTTTCGAACCGTAATACCTTTGGATGGGATCAACCAATTTTCGATTTTTTTTGGGATTCTGATTGCTCAGTCAATTGGGTATAACATAATTTTCTTACGTTTCTCAACCTTTTCGGAAATCATAACCTATGCCTCTGTGTGGCATCATAGGTCCATCCTTCTGGGAACACTTCACTATAAAAACAATACCTAGCTAGACAACATGTGACTATACCGAGGGGTTAACCAGGTATTCAAACAATTCGAAAAGCCATACGTTGTTCAAAATTGCATATCTCAAAACATCCTGAATGGATCTTGATGAATCCGAAACTATTTCGAGAACACACATCAGTCTTTATGTTTTTGCAGTCAGAAAAAAATTTTAAAAATCATCCTATCAACGGTACGACCCCAAACTTTTCTAAAATTATCACACTTTCAGATACCATCCTGTAGGTCATGATTCCGAAAAGGTGGAAGAACGTCAGAAAATTTTGTTATACCCAATTGACTGAGCAATCCGAATACCCGATAGTGTGGTACACTGACGGTTCTAAGACTGATGAGGGCTCGGGAGCCGGAATATATGGAGATAGGCCCAGAACCAGGATGTGCGCTTCCTTGGGGAGGTATGCTTCAGTATTCCAGGCAGAGGTGCATGCTATTGAGGCATGCCTGAGAGAGAATATTGTAAGAGGATATAGAGGTAAACAAATCCTCATATGCTCAGATAGTCAGGCGGCCATTCAATCTTTAACATGCAATAAAATCAGATCAAAACTGGTCTGGGATTGCCTTCAAAGCCTGCTAACCCTGGCTAACCACAACAAGGTAACTCTTCAATGGGTGCCAGGGCATAAGGGAATTGAAGGCAATGAAGCAGCTGACGCTCTTGCCCGGCAAGGGTCTGCGACGTTGTTTATGGGACCGGAACCTGTATTCGGTATCCCCAAAACCTCAATACGCGGCTGGCTGGCAAGGTGGATGCAAGAAAGACATCAGGCATACTGGAACAATGTCCCAGGACAATGACACAGTAAACTGATGGTTGGAACACTGTCCAAAACAGTGACTAACGACATTCTGAGCCTAAACAGAAGTCAGATCAAACAAGTGACGGGACTAATAACCGGTCACTGCCCCTTGAGGAAACATATGCATCAAATGGGCATCTATACAGACGAACCCATATGCAGACTATGCAATGAGGAGGAGGAAACTGCCACCCATGTAATATTGGAGTGCGAAGCACTAGCGCGTTGGAGATACAACCTTCTGGGAGCAGTAAACTCTCAAGAGGCATTTTCAAAGAATGATTTGGTGAAGAGGCTGCTAAACCTCATCAAGGCAGCGAACCTGTTCACCTAAGTCAACAGCATGATCAGGAATACAATAGGCCCAAAGGCTGCAGTGTTTTGGGCTTCAAACCCTGACTGATCATTCTGCTATTAATCAATCAATCAATCAATCCGAATCCCAAAGAGAACTAAAAATCGGTTGATCCCATCCAAAGTTATTACGGTCCGAAAACAAACAAAATATTCGCTTGTCTCACTTCAAATGTGGAGAAGTTCAGATAACGCCGAAAAAGATGCGTCACACAAAGGAAAAATCACGAAGAGTTGGCCGCATCCTGGTGCTGCGGCTGGTTGAGGAAAGCGACGTTGGCGGCCTTGAGACGGGCGGCGGCGGCGGCAAGTAGCGGCGACGGCGACGCGCACGGCGTCGAACAGAGGCTGTTGCTGATGTCGCACTGGTCGAGCATCGACAGCAGCTCCAAGGTGGTGGGGCCGCCGTCGGTGCTTTTGTCTAATAAAGAAAAAAGCAACGATGATGTCGAGAAACGATACCGATGATGTTCATTGCGATGAGAAAGGCATGCGTTTTTTTTTGAAGTTTGATTTCATACTGGTAGTCCAAGAGCCGACTCAAAATTTCGACCGCCATCTGATACAGAACTGATATACAGTGTGTGCGATTTCAACCCGCAATACCCTTCTAATTTGGAACCCGTTGACCGATTTACAAAAACGAACATTTCATAATACAGGGTGTTTCATAATTGAATGCTGATCCTAAAGGGCGATAATCCTTGGATGATTTTAAGAAAAATTCTTCATGTGAACATAGGTCCGTAACAGCTTCGTTTCTGAGATACAGGATGTTGAAATTTAACAAAAAAATCAGTTATTCCCCAATATCTCTGGAACCGCTCTGGCTTTTTTCTTCAATTTTGGTACATGCCGAGTATGAATAGAAATAGATTTTTTCCATAATGAAGGATTTCTTAATTTCCATCAGTGTCGTCCCTGTTAACATACCCTGTCATATTTTTCATCAAAATAATGATACGCCACTGTCTTGTTTCCAAATGAATATTATTTTTGTAATTATCCTCTATCTTCTCATAAAAATGGTCTCGTGTCTTTTTTTCGTCCGGCGAACGGTTTTTGAGTTAGAAAATAAAATGCATTCATTTGCTTGTTTCTATTCGATTATTACTCTTGATCATAATTTCACAATTATTATGGTAACCAAAATATCTGAGCAATATTTTTATAATTTTATGGTAACTATTTTTAAGTATTTGTAATAAAGAAAAAAGCCAGAGCGGTTTCAGAGATATTGGGGAATAACTGATTCTTTTGTTAAATTTCAACATCCTGTATCTCAGAAACGAAGCTGTTACGGACCTATGTTCACATGAAGAATTTTTCTTAAAATCATCCAAGGATTATCACCCTTTGGGATCAGCATTCAATTATGAAACACCCTGTATAGTATTCAACGAGCTCTATTCCGAGAATGTGAACAAATTTTGGATATTCAGATTTTCAAGGCCTACTTTTGGTTTGTTGAAGGGGTCAAAATTTCAAAAACGACTATTAGGCAATTTTTCATCAAAACTGTGACAAGCCTATTCGATTCAGGCATAGCTGAAATGACTCCATACGAAATTTGAACGCAAAATCTCATATAGGGTGTTAGTTATTCAGTGGCGAATTTTGATGATTTTGATTTTTCAATTCACTCTGTATCAAAATCTGAAGAGTTGATATAACCGGTGAAGTAGTCATTCAATAGAGGAACACATCGGATACTTGGATACGAGGTTTCATCGTTGTAACTTCTACAGGAATTTCTGTCTTGGTCAACCGAGATATTCTCTATATACAGGGTGTTTCATAATTGAATGTCAATATTTGGGGACGCAATTCTTGGGCCCATTCTAAGAAGAAAGTTTCATATGAACGTATGACCTAAACATCCTAACTTTTGAGATACAGGGTGGTGAAGTTCTCAAAAATTAATAGTTTTTTATTAATATCTGTAATACCACTTCAGATATTCTGATGAAATTTGGCATACATGTACTATGTATCAAGAGGCATCAGTTAGCGTACCACATTTTTTGTTGTTGCCACCAGTGGCGTTCGTATGGAATTTCACATACCTATTTTGGCAGACATTGATGGTACGCCACTGATTAATCTCCAAATTGAAATCATTCCTGAAATTCCCGATCATTTCTAAGCAAATTTGATCACTACAATTTTTTCAATCTGATGCACGGTTTTCGCTTAAAAATAAAAAGCTTTTCACTACATGATTATAGTAATATTGTTAATATGATAATATCACAATGCAGAGAAATAGTTTTTATTTTTAAGATCAAATTTCAGAAATACAATTCATAGTTCATGAACTTTGTATTCGTATTTGGTATTTTCGAATTATAACTTCTCATTGTAGTAGGCTATATTAATTTTCGAGAATTTTACCACCCTGTATCTCCAAAGTTGGGACGTTTAGGTCATACGTTCATATGAAACTTTCTTCTTAGAATGAGCCCAAGAATCGCCTCCTAGAATATTGACATTCAATTATGAAACACCCTGTATATAACAACTTCCATTGTCATCTCAAATTTCCCATTCATTTCGCGAAAATCAGTAGGTATATTATTATTATCACATTAACCCTCTCGCTCACGAATTAAGATTTATGAATTTAAAAATCTGAATATTTTTATACAGTATGTATGATTTTTTTGCAATTTTTTGATATATATTTTTTTATGTTCGAAATGTTCCTAAGAGCCCTAGGACATGTCCACAAATGAGGACAGTGTGAGCTAACGGAGTAAAAATTCTATGAAAATATAATATGAAATAAGAGGAGATCATGTTATCAATATCATATAATGGATATTTTACTGACCATTATTGTTCACATTCAAAGATAAATGATAAGTAACAAAACAATTGAATTTTTTGGACAAACATAAATGAATATTGCACTTGCTACACATTATTCTGGATTTTCTTTTACATTTGGGAAATTTGCATCTTGATGATTTGCAATAGATCATCGTCAGTGAGAAGTTTTCTGGCCATTTTTTATGCACTGAAATGTGTGATAGTGATATATAAGATGATTACGTTCATTTTGGTATTCTTTTACCATTGACTCACAATGTCCACAAAACAGTACACCAAGTTACGAAAATCCTAGAGTCCACAATACAGTGTGTCCCACTTACCATGCTCACCATGGGTATCTTTTTAACAGTGAGAGATACGAGGTTGGTTAAATGACACCAAATGTGGAGTTTGTCAAGGTCAACTATAATGTGAAAAAATATTTTGATAAAATCTATTCGTTTTTGTTTTATACGCAAAAAACAGATTTTGATCATTTTAATGTCTCCTCCGTAACTTCTTTATTTATGGAAAGTGATTTCGAAAAAAATATGGAATTTATACCAATTCTTCTAGAATTTGAGATATAAGCACCAACTTTAGTTTTTCAAATGTAGATCATAGCTCACTATGACCTAGTTACAAATAACTTTTTTTTCTCTTACAGATGATGTGTCGCAGTAATAGTTTTGTGTTGATAACAACGGAGTTATCGTCATTTATACAAAAACAAAAAATTATTTGGAAGCCGCAATCTTGAATTTATGAATTTTAACGAAAAAATCATGATCTCTGACCTCAAAAACCCCCACTTACCAAGTTTGAATGGAATCGAACCAAATCTTGTCCGCCATCTTGGAGCAGCCATTTTTTTTAATTGACAGCGGAGAAGATTCGGTCTGATTCCATTCAAAATTGGTGAGTGGGGGTTTTTGAGGTCGGAGATCATGATTTGTTCGTTAAAATTGATAAATTCAAGATGGCGGCTTCCAAATAATTTTTCATTTTTGTATAAATGACGATAACTCCGTTGTTATCAACACAAAACTATTACTGCGACACATCATCTAAAAGAGAAAAAAAAGTTATTTGTAAGTCATAGTGAGCTATGACCTACATTTGAAAAACTAAAGTTGGTGCTGATATGTCAAATTCCAGAAGAGTTGGTATAAATTTCATATTTTTTTCGAAATCACTCTAAAAAACTGTCATGAGAATGTGGAATTCCGATTTGCATATTTCCATAAATAAAGAAGTTACGGAGGAGACATGAAAATGATCAAAATCTGTTTTTTGCGTATAAAACAAAAACGAAAAGATTTTTTCGAAATATTCTCTCACATTATAGTTGGCCTTGGCAAACTCCACATTTGGTGTCATTTAACCGACCTCGTATCTCTCACCGTTAAAAAGATACCCATGGTGAGCATGGTAAGTGGGACACACTGTATACAAAAATTGATGAATCCACTAATCACCAACGGAAATTTAATGACTTTTCTATACGTCAGGATTTATTTGACAGTTTCCACTATTGAGATGTAATCAAGAAAAATTACAGAGCATTGCTCTACAAGGTCATACATGCAGGGATCTAGAAACGTTAATTATATTCCAGTTCCACTTTCTCACTATAACCCACAGATGGCTGCACATATGTTCATTTTGAATAATAAACTATCATAATCAGAGTACGATAGAAGATTGCAGTAAAAACAAACAGAGATCAGCATAAATAATTTATGAAGAGGTTGTCCTCATTTGTGGACACGGTGAGCGAAAGGGTTAAATTATCAGTAAATCTCCTTGGTCTTCGGAGTGTTTGTCTATCATTCTACAGTTCTTTATCAATCGGGACGATTTTTTAAGTTACTGTGTGGTGAAGTGTGTGAAAAACGGTTCACTTGAGTTTTCTAAATGGTGAAATTCGACTTTAATTTATTAATTTTTGGTTGAACTAAAAAGATCTTCCTGTAGAAGTTACAAAGATAAAACTTCGTATCCGAGTATCCAGTGTGTTTCTCCATTGAATGACTACTTCATCAGTTCTATCGATTTCTTAGATTTTGATACATGGTGAATCGAAAAATCAAAAATATCAAAATTTGCCATTGAATAACTAACACCCTATATGAGATTCTGTGATTAAATTTCGCATGGGGGTATTTGAGGTATGCCTGAATAGAATGTACTAGTCACTGTTAACACAAAAATTGCCTACCAGTCGTTTTTGGAATTTTGACCCATTCAACGATCAAAAGTAGGCCTTAAAAATCTGAATATTTCAGATTTGTCCACATTTTCGAATAGAGCTCGTTGAGTACTATATTATGAAGTTTTTGTTTTTGAAAATCCGTCGACGGGTTCTAAATTAATGGAATGACTCAACTATTAAATACCAGACTCTCTGCAAACTGAGAGGAACTGCACAAATTTGGTACGAGGGGATAATTCTAAATGAATTGGGTTGTGGTCAAAGTTCACCTGGGAATATTGGAAAGGAATATTATTGAAAACTTTCAAATCAAATCGTGATTTTTATAAAATGCTTATTGAGTTAGTGAATCATAGACCAAAACTAGGCGCCTGTCTTTATGAATACCATTTTCACCATCTTTCAAAAATGGATAGTTTGCGAATTGACTTGACCGAAACTGATAAAATTTCTTTGATAGTTGGGGGAATAGGAGATGATAATATCAGCTCAGCTATCGAAGCCTCCAATATCACAGATTTGAATGTATTATCTAGCTATTTGAGAAACAAAGTTAAGAAGTAGTCGTGGATACGGCTAGGTTGTATCTGATACCTATTGTGAATATAGTGGAAATCGTGGAGTACCCAGAGTGTTTTATTCTAATAACCGTCCACCAAGCTAACACTTGCCTAGTGTCCGTACTCTAATATACAAAAAATGTCAAAAGAGCAGTGTCAAGTCGTTACCACCGATACAACAAGGCCAGCAGACTCTGACGTAAACAGCTCGTGACGTCGCCAAGTGAGGCCAGTGTTTTATTTTATCGCTTGTCGACTAACGCGTCAGTTCGTGTTAATTCATCGGTGATTCACGTATGTTTTTGAAACGGTCCCGAATTCTTTTGTTGTTTCTTCATCAAAATAATTGGCGGAAAAATTACTGTTTTGTGAAATATTTTGTGTTGTGACCGGCGAAATAACAACGCCTTTCAAGTGTTGTGTTCCCTTTTGTCGGGGGAATTATGTGGGTGGTTCAAAAGTTCATGCTTTTAGTTTCCCGTTGGACGAGGAGCTATCGAAAATGTGGGTATACAGGGTGAGTCATGAGGAACTGTACATGCTCCTACTACGAATAGAGGCATCTGAGGGGAATACCAAATGACCATCAGAAAGTGTCTCCGCCTCTTCTAAAATAATCTATAGGGTGATTAATGAGATATGGCAAAAACTTCTTTCAATCATAACTTTCCAATTGTTCTTTCGATTTCTTTCATTTTCCCATGGATTATCATTCTGTCACTCAGCAATCAACTGACGTATTCAGAATCGTGAAAATCCAGGACCGGTCTTGAGAAATTCTGCCAATTTGGTCCATATAAAAAATTTCACCCTATATGAGGTTTTAGTAAACTGTGATATGGAATTTCTGAAGTTGATGAACAGGCAACTAAAATGAAGTATTTCAAATTTTCCTCACAATTTCATTGAATTTCTTAAAAAATCATTAATTTAAACTACACACGAAACTTGGGCAATAAATGTATTAATTTGAAAATTAATACTTCGCAACGCATGAATTTTACGAATGAAAGTAGGGATAATATCATTCTCAATTCTTCAGCTCAACAATAATCAATATTCTTTTATTTCCAGGGTTGGATTCAGTAATTTTTTAGTAGAGAGTAATAATCACCAATCACACCCTGTATATGGTTTTAGTAACCTGTGATATGGAATTGTCAAAGTTGATGAACTGGCAACCAAAATTAAGTATTTCAAATTTTCCTCAGAGTTTCACAGAATTTCTTAGAGTACGATCAATTTTCACTACACGTGAAACTTTCGCAACAAATGTATTAATTTGAAAATGAATACTTCGCACCGCTAGAATTTCACGAATAGAAGCAAGAATAACATCATTTCCTATTCTTCAGTTCACTGAAAATCAACATTCATCTATATCCAGGGTTGGATTCAGTAAATTTTTGGTACATGGTAATAATCACCAAAAATTGCACCCTGTATATGATTTTAATAAACTGTGACATGAAATGTTCGGAGTTGACAAACAAGAATCAGGAATAATTTTACCCTAACTTTTATTCGTGAAATTCATGCATTGCGAAGTATTAATTTTGAAATTAATACATTTGTTGCCCAAGTTTCGTGTGTAGTTTAAATTAATCATTTTCTAAGAAATTCAATGAAATTGTGAGGAAAATTTGAAATACTTCATTTTGGTTGCCTGTTCATCAACTTTAGAAATTCCATATCACAGTTCACTAAAACCTCATACAGAGTGAAATTTTTTATATGAACCAAATTGGCAGAATTTCTCAAGACCGGTCCTGGATTTTCACGATTCTGAATACGTCAGTTGATTGCTGAGTGACAGCATAATAATCCAAGAAAAAATGAAAGGAATCGAAAGAACTGTTGGAAAGTTATGATTGACAGAAGTTTTGGCCATATCCCATAAATCACCCTATAGATCATTTTAGAAGAGGCGGAGACACTTTCTGATGGTCATTTGGTATTCCCCTCAGCTGCCTCTATTCGTAGTAGGAGCATGTACAGTTCCTCATGACTCACCCTGTATACAATTCACCGCGACGATTTTACTCCATCTAAGTATCTATGTTCAGTAGTAAACAGAGCTTAATTTATAATGATGAATTAATAATATAAGACGATTACTCTCTCATAAAAAGTATAAGTAGAGGAAAAATAGAAAAGCTTTGATTGTGCAGTTAGTTTTGTATTCGTATATTATAGTCAACAAAATCATCTCTGAATTCGAGGAAATTTTCTTGAATGTTCATAATAAACGGGCATTTTTAATTCTCATTCTCAAATTTTTTTCTGAAAACGGTCATTTGCCTCGTGGCAATTAATGCAGAATTCATTCCAATGATCAAATTGCAACTATCATATTAACATGAACTACAAACACTCTACTCAAAAAAGGTAAAACTGCATTTATCATGATATTAATCATGAAGATATTTGACTGAAAAGTTCCAAATTTCACCTTCTTTTTCACCTGTCTTCTGGATGGCATTTAGAACAAATTTCCCTTCTTTTTTCATCATATTGGACAATTTATATATAATTCAACTATAAATATGATTTTCTTGAGATTAATCCATATTTAGTGAAAAGAAGGAAGAATATCATTCAAAATAATGGCGTGTGTAATGTCATTCGAAAGCAATCTATTGACATTTGACATGTCGTATTTTGATTGACTATTGATTGAATGGTCGTCATCTGGAATGCTTGTTCACTAAATATGAAAAACTTGCCATAAAAATCATATTTCCTGTTGAATTTTCTATATAAAAATGTGCCATCGAAGTACATCATGAGTATATAAAGTGTCCAATGACAAAATAAGAGCAAGTAGCTTCAAATGCCCCCAACACAAGGGGAGAAAAAAGGCGAAATTTCGAACTTTTTCTTGAAATATCTCAATAAATAGTGGTTTGTTCACATTTTCATTATAAAATTCGGTTTATCAGACAAAAATACGTAAGTACCGAAAAAAAATTTCAAAAAAAAAACCATCGCATGATAAATGCAGTTTTACCCTTAAAAATTACGGTTTCAAGAGTAACGATCCACTTGGGTGAAAAATCCAACAACAAAAAAATTGAAAACACTCACTGGTTATTTTTTCAGGTAATAGGAATTCTCCAAGATAAATATAGATAATGTAACAAACGGCATGTCAATCAAAATAAAATACATTTTCCACAATTTTCTTTCGATCAATCTCACGATAAGTTTATGTTCTGCGGGCCCTGTATAAGTAGGTGTGAATAAGTTTACCTTCACCACAATTTTTGCCAATATATTTAATTCGAATGGGTTGCTGTAGGTGGATATTTGTGTTTTATCCTCGTTTTTGCTTTAAAACTTCGTTTTTCCATAATAAAATCGAATGGGCTGCGAAGAAGGGCTCAGTTGACGACTGGCATTATTTTTTTAACCGGAAGCCCTTCAAAAAACAGCAAAATCGGCTCAATGATGATCTAAAACTAAAATCGAAATACGCGGTCGCCTTATATAAGCGCTTGTCGTTTCGAGCCGCTGGTTAGGCCTGACTAAGTGACGTCACCCACGGAGCATGCAGGCCTTGTTGTATCGGTGGTAACGGTCAAGTTCATTTAGGAACTCTAGTTTCCAATGAGAACGAGAATGGAACAAATCTAACCTCAACCTTACCTGAATCAGTCTTGTAGGAGAGATCGAGGGCCGTGGTGAGGTCCCACATCTGGATGGACCCGTTCGAATGGCCGCTGAAGATGAACCGCCTCGGTCTCGAGCCCATCCTGCTAGACGCTTCGCATTCGTGCACGAAAAACGCGCTGACAGTGCTGCCATCTACCGCCTTTATCACGCACACCCTACAAAAATTACATTGGAGATCGCATCGTCCAGTCAAATGGTATTTTCACTTGGAAAAAATTCAAGTAGTCGGTTTTTCTGTGGTTTCATATGTTTTTGGAGGTGTAGAATTCGAATCTGAATTTTCAAACAAAATTTCCTGAAGCGTTCCGAGATATTCGTAAAAAACAGCAAAACTTTCGGACTTTTTTCGGTTTTTTGCCCGTAACTCGGAAATTATACGTTATATCGAAAAGACCGCCCTATAGAAAGTTGAAGTAGATACAATTTCCTAAATATAATTGTTATTGCTCATGAATGACTGACGACTGCGGAGATAGAGCCAGTTGAAAATTGACCAAATTTGCGTACTTTTAAAAAAATAGCGTTTTTCGTCGGTTTTCGCAGATAATTCCAAATCTTCGCATTCCTCGAAGAAACGTACTATACTGCCTGATGTGAAAGAGTCCTAGCCATGTGAATTCTTACCTCTGCCAGCATGTAACTTATGACTCTCGACTTGTCACTGTACTTAATTAAGTATATTCACATCAACTAGGAAGACTATTGTTTTTTTTACCTGCCTCTTGTTATTCGTTAACGGAGTAGAAAAATCAAGTTTCCTAGCAACGAATATCAGAAATGTCAGACATCTGAAGAAAATATAGTTAGAAGAGTTTCCTTCACTGTCGGCTGTCTTCGAATTTACGGCGAATACTTGTTATAAACCTGCCTCACTGCGATTTCAAAATACGAAAGTTCCAGTTCAGTTCTTTTTGTTTTATTTTTTTTTGGTTGAGTTTCATATTCAAGCTATTTTCCTGTGATCGAATATATCAGATCGCCAGTGTTATGATATGTGATGAAGCCCCCTGCTGAACAACGATGTAGTGACGATTAGATTTTAGATTATAGGATCACCCTCATCTGATTAATTGCTTTCTATAACCCTAGACTTACAATGAAGCCTAATATTTTCTTGACAGTTGAATTTTCCGCCTCAAGAGGCTTCATCTAGACCTGTTCTAGGGTAGTCAGCCTTTGGCGGACTGGTACCTTGTTTGAACAAAGGTGCTCCGCGTTTATTGTCAGTCTCCTCTAGACCCATTTTTTTTAGTAATAGCTCAGAGGGTAGTGCTTTAGCTCTTGTTTGCTGAGACTCACTAGCTTAGGAATTGTTGAAGAACTCTTTTCTTCTCATTTTCTGAGCTCTGTGATATGGTGGCATTTGCTTGTCTCACAGAAAAGTAAAATGTGAGGTCTGCACTTTTTTGCTAGGCTGCCTCATTCCCATGACGCCTTGGGAACCCACATGAGCGAGAATTGATTCTGATACTTATTCATCACAAAATAGGTAATTTTGATAGTTTGAATAGTTTATCAGTTTTCTATCAAAATGTTCAAAGAATACCCTATAGCATTTGGAATTATTGTATCGGAATTATAACAACTACACTCACCGGCAAAAAAAAACCGGCCACCAAATAATTTAGCCAAATTGATTGCTCTGTAACTTTTTCAATTCTGGTCCAATTTTGGTGAAATTCCGACCAAATCGTAGATTCATGTTTCCAAATGTTAGCCCAAATATTAGTTCCTAAGGAAATCTGATGACTCGATCATTATACAGGGAAAAACGAAATTAACTTTTTCACCCTTAACTTCTTAACGCCCTGTGGGAAAGATGAGTGGTTTAAGTTAGCTTCATTATGTTTTAGATTGAAGAGTGATCTCTTCTCTACATTATAGTTTTTTATTCACGTCGATAACCATTTTTTAAAGGGAGATACACAAGTGTTTCAAGAGAGTATGGATTCTTAAAATTTTTATTTACAATAATTCAGAACCATTCTCCAACCTTCTGCTTCAATGCTTCATCATGTTTTAAATTAAAGTGGGATCCTCTTTTGTTCCTTCTTCATACAACGGTTTTTGAATAACATCAATATCTCCTTTTTGAGAGAAGATACAAGTGTTTCAAGAAAGTATAGATTTTCAAAATTTTCAATAACAATAATTCAGAACCTATCTACCTATCATAGGGGTGACCTCTAAAGGCTCATTCGCCTTCGCCCAGCCTTGTCAGATACTCTTCAAGAGCTATGGTTCGCCCTTCAAGAAGGATTTCAGGCAATGCTTCAAGGCTACTTGAGTAATTTGATCAATTCGATGCCACTTCGGTTGGATGCTGTAATTCAATATCGAGGAGAGCATACTCGTCATTGACTACAGGCCTGCTTCTTGTTTGTTTTTTGTAATTGATTTTTCCGTAAGTGCTAATAAAGTAAGGTAGAAATATGTGATATTAATCCTTGAAGTTGTTAATCAATAAGTTCATGTAAATTCTGATTGGTAAAAAAAAGTTGAAAAACGCCATACTTCCTTAAAACACTCGTATCTTCTTTTAAAAATAAGATATTGACGTGAATCAAAAACTTTTGTGTTTAGAAAGGATCACACTTCAATCCGAAGCATAATGAAGCTATGTTCAATCACACAATTTTGCCACAGGGCGTTGAGAAGTATAGGGTGAAAGAGTAACTTTGGTTTTTCCCTGTATAATGATCAAGTCATCAGCTTTTCAGGAAAACTGATATTTAGGCTAACATTCCGGAACATGAATCTACAATTTGATCGAAATTTCACAAAAATCGGACAAGGATTAAAAAAGTTACAGGCTGAACATTTTGGACAGATTTTTTGGTGGCCGGTTTATTTTGCCGGTGAGTGTATAATTCCAGCGTACAGAATTTTATTTTTTCTTGTCCCTCCCCCACAGAATATAAAAACAAAACAATGACCTATTTATACGTTTTAGAGCTTTATTGAATGAAGGTTCATATGATCCAAATCATATAAGTTGGAAGGATGAACATGAATGTGGCAACTACGACTAAAAGACGTCTCCAAGTCCGAGCACGCTAACAGCCGTTCATATTTTTTCATAATGACGAAATCTACATGAGCTCTATAGGAAATGTGATGCTCTTCCAATATGTGCATGATGCTATGTCTCTGAATAATACGTAAAATATGAATTATCTGCGAAAACCGACGAGAAACGCTATTTTTTGAAAAGTAATCAATCGGGGATCATTCGATCTTTCCAATTTTCTATTTCTAATCGAGAATGACTATGAATTATTTTGAGCTCTGAGGATGATTGATTCAACTGAATCAAATCTAATTATACTTTTTTGGCAGAAAAAAACAATTCTGATCGACAAAATCATCAGAGAGACAATATAATTTGAAATTGGATAAAAAACAATGAAACAATAACATGATACTGATACATAAATATTAAAATCTATATAAGTACATACACGAGCCCAACAGGTTTGTTTTTTTCGCTTGTTATGATAAAATACGAAAGTGCAGTCACAATATGTAAACATATCAATAGTTTTTTATTTTACAAGGCGAAAAGTACTAGCTTTAGTTCGAAGTTGTGTTGTCAAACCAAGAACTAAAATCTAATATTTTTCCAGTGTGAAATATTTCGGGATTTATGGAATGGAAGATGAAATAGGCATGCTGTTCTTTCTCGGAGATGGTTTTAAATTATTATTCGGAACTGGCACAACAAAAGCCAAGTCAAATTATTTCATGAAAAATTACAATTTGTTATCAGACAACAGTGATGACATTTCAAACTTTTTTCCCGTCACAGAAAAATAAAATTAAAATATGATATATCTACTACTTGAAGGATTCACTGCTGAAGAATGTCTTCATGTAATACGCAGAACGGTTGAATTTATAACAATTGTTTTACCCTATTTCTAAAAAATCCGAAGACTTCAATTTCCGTTAAATGTTGTGGTAAGCAATTATATATTTTCATCCCGTTGTACATGATAGATTCTTCAGCTAGATTGTTGTTGGGTGAAGGTAATATTGATCTAAATTTTTAGGAGATCGAGTGTCATGATTTGATGGTACTGAAATAGTTAGTTACCTAACAAGTGCGGAAAGTAGTACTTTACCGCACGCTACGGCAATCGCACGAACGACGCAAAGCGGAGTTCGGGCAAATCGTCAAGGGCGGAAAAGACATTTTCCGCAAGGGTTAGGTATAAAGTTTTTAATAAACAATATTTTATAATGATGCTACAAAATGACACATAAGACAGAATAGTTACATGGATCATTTAGTTAGTCCTAAATATCCTTATTTTCAACGTGCGCTAGAGTAACTTTTACGCACATTTTCATGCACTGAAATATTATATTGTGCAACAAGTGGGGAAAGTTGAACTTTTCTCACGAGTATGAAAGTTTGTGGCTCGAGCCTGAAGGGCGAGTGATGCAAACACACGAGTGAGAAAAGTACTTTTCCTCACATATTGCACACTATACTTTTTCTACAACTACACTTATCCAAAGAATCCAAGTAATGTAACTTATTGGTATTCATTTTATAATGTGGCACTATGCCACATTGAATATTGTGACCAAAGAGTAGACGCCTTTCCTAGTTCCTCAAAGTATTTCAAAAAACTGCCCTTTATAAAAAAGATTTTATTTCTGTATTTCTTTAGATTCCAAAAATTTTTCGTATATGCCAATTCATACTTTTTTCTTGAAATTTCCGGAAACAAATAAAATTTTCGCAGCTTTTTCCATTATCTCTGACTCTGGCGGTGTATTTATCAAAATCATCACATCTCGGTATATACATCATATTATTTATTATGAATTGTTGGAATAATATTTTATGAAAACTGCGATTTCTATCAAAAGCACTAATGAGAACTACCCTAAAGAATTTAAAAAACTTATGACAGTTGTGACAACTACTCAAAGCTGAACACCAGCCAATTGAGTTGTGGTCGATTTTTGTTGATTCTCCATGGAAATATACCGGGTGGCTACGGAAGTATTGCCTACGGAATATCTCAGTTATTGTATGAAGTAGGTTTGTGAAATTTGGTGCGTCGATATAATGACATAAGAGCTAGAATTTGAGCATGCATATTGACATGTCGAAGTTTACTTCCGGTCTGACCGGAAGTAACATCAACTTTCTTATTTTGAATGGAAACACTATTTTTTGTCTTTTCGCTTTATTCAGCATTCAATTCCCTTTCTAATGACATATCACAAGTTGATATCTAACCAGAAACTATATCAGAAAAAAATTATTATTGAAATTCACCGAGTAGGCCGTGAAAGCAAAATGAAAGCCAAAAATTGAAAAGTTGGCTATGGAAACCATACGTCACTTGATAACAGTTGCTACTACTGTGATATTTTATTTTCATAGGTCGGCATTATAAAAAGCCGCCAAAAACAAATATTGAAAAAATTGGGAAAAAAACAATACTCTGTAGGTTCACAACTTAAATAGGAACATTCGACTTTTTCTCGCCTGTACTATTCAGCATAACCATTCCTTCTTAATGATATAATAGAAAGTCATTTTTTGGCTTTCATTTTGCTTCCACGGCCTACTCGGTGAATTTCAATAATAATTTTTTTCTGATCTAGTTTCTGGTTAGATACCAACTTGTGATGTCATTAGAATGCTGAATAAAGCGAAAAAAAATAGGGTTTCCATTTGAAATAAGAAAGTTGATGTTACTTCCGGTCAGACAGGAAGTTAACTTCGACATGTCAATATGCTCAAATTCTAGCTCTTATGTCATTATATCGACGCTCTAAATTTCACAAACCAACTTCATACAATGACTGAGATATTCCGTAGGCAATACTTCCGTAGCCACCCGGTATGTGGTGTTGGCAAAGTGCCGTTAGAAGAAATATTTCTCACAGTATGAGCAATACATGGTTTTGAAACTAAGTAAGCTATGAGAAATGCGCTACTTTTCATAGCAGTAATAGAAAAAATAATTAAATAGATTTTTTTCATCGATATAATATAAAACTTATTTGAATAACATTTAAGTAACAATAACTAAAACATTCTCGATGGTAAATGTTGAAATCGAAAGTGCAATTTGTGGTTGTTGCAAGATGTAATATAGCAGATGCCGCAACATCTTGAAGAACGTCGTTTCTTATTCGAATTTGATTGGTTAGTGTTTGCATCAGATATTTCCGGGGGGAGATCTTGAAAGTTTCCTGAGTTGTCCATTTTTATTTGGAATTACGTACACGGAAAAATGGCGCTTGAAATGCATATTTGTTGACTGCTGCTACTGTCAGTTTATAGCGACTTCTGCTATGGGTACGTTCTGGTGCCAACAGTTATCACCACATGTCTCCTGGTATTACCTTCGAAATTTGCGGAAAAGTAGAAGTATTGCAAAAAAGTAGAATCGTAAGGAAAAGTACAACTTTTAAAACGAAAAATCATGCGGATAAGTTACTTTTCCGCACGCTCGTGGGAAAAAGACTTTTTCAGATCGGTCCAGTAGCTCAATACAAACAAACACACAATAGTATAGATATCTAATATAAGAATGATGATTCCACAGTTATCCCCACCATTCGCGATTCCATTCATGTATCCGTGTTTGGCGGTCAAGATTGTTAGCGTATATTTTTAAATGGCCTCCCTCTTCCAGATACCTCTACTGTTATATATATCGGGTGACACAGGGTATCGGGCCACCCCTGTAACTTCTGCTTTCGTGATCGGATTTTTCTGAAATTCGGTGTAGTTATATAAGCAATTATTTCGGATTTGATCACATTACAATCCAATATGGCGGACTTCCGGTATTTCTGGAAATGCCAGCAACTTTGTTTTTCAAATGAAACACCCTGTATATTTTTACATATTCAAGTTCAACAGGTCAAAACAAGTGCAATCTTTATTTCAAATGTAATTTTTTCGAAAAAAATTAGATTAAAATTGTTTTTTCATTTTACCTCGTGGATGAATGAGATGTGGTCAAGACTATTCACAATGAGTCACACATAACAGAAAAACATATTTTTTTCTGAAAAATTATTTTTTGTGTCACTTATCCAGGAATCAATTCAGCCACATCACTTTTTGATCAAAAATTATTTTTTTTTCAAATGGAACCCCAATGGGCCACCTACCCGTTTCTCTAGAACATACTTTAAGGAACGAAATGAAATATCATTTTTGTTTTTCGGTGCAGTAACAAATTGTATACATTCAAAAATCAACAACTAGTTTATGAATTTCCTTGCAGTTAGAATAATTTTTCAACTAGGTAGGCTGTGGAATAAATGACACCTGACATCAAGATTGCACTTGTTTTGACCTGTTGAACTTGAATATGTAAAAATATACAGGGTGTTTCATTTGAAAAAACAAAATTGCTGGCATTTCCAGAAAAACGGGAAGTCCGCCATATTGGATTGTAATGTGATCAAATCCGAAATAGTTGCTTATATAACTGTACCGAATTTCAGAAAAATCCGTTGACGAATGCAGAAGTTACAGGGGTGGCCCGATAGCCTGTGTCACCCGGTATACTGTGAGGATTCTATGATTTTTGAAAAGCTTCCTGCAAGTATCACCCTGCTTGTGTGATCTGTGACTTTCGTTTGGTGCAAACTCCCCAAAAAACAACCGAAAACACGCACCACTCACCTTTTTCCGTTGCTCGCCAGCCTGACGAACAGCTGGTCCGCATCGGGCACCACCTTCTGCACGAACACCTGCTCGTCGTCCTGCTCGCCGAACGGGCCGCACTCGTTGGCCGCCGGCGAGGAGGCGTGGCCCGCGGAGGCTCCTCCCCCTGCTACCCCCTCCACCGCCTCGAGCGCGACGATCTTGAACGACGCCTCCGGAGTGGAGCCGGGCTGCGTGGAGAGCATGCCGCGGAAGCGGGTGACGCGCCAGCTGCGCACGTGGTTGTACTCCGAGCACACCGACACGAGGTACTTCTCGGAGAGCGTTACCTACAATAGGGGGCGGGGCGTGTGAGTTGGTAGGCGGGGAAAGTGCGTTGATAGGCGGAGCGTGCATACAATGGGGCGGTTCGAATTGCTTGATGGGCGGAGCGCTTTTTTAGCTGGTCGAGCTCGTATGTGACGAAAGTTTTACGAGGAAGTGGGTTCTGGATTATTAAGAGCTGACAACTACAACAATGAAATTTCTAGTGATAGTGGCATTATTGAAAGTCTAGAGGTTCAGTCGATTACTCAAAATTGAGAATATACACGGATAAAATTGAATATTTGATATATTAGCAGAAATTGTTCAGGTACTGGACCAAATAAAAGGGGCGGAGCTTGCGAGTTGCGCACGTGGTTGTACTCCGAACACACCGATATGTGGTACTTCTCGGAGAGATTTGCCTGAAAAGGGGGCGGGGCACGTGAACAGATACGCGGAGCGTGATTTCAATGGGGCAGGGCACATGACTTGATGGGTGGAGCGTACAAAATAATATATTATGGATTGCTTGAGTACTGCAATGAAAGCGGCAGAGCTTGTGTTAGTTGTGCACGTGGTTGTCTCCGTGCGTGGTATTATTGAGAATTGTGAATTAAGATGCGTCACAAGAAGTTCTCAGATTAATACACGGAATTATACAAAATAGATATGATATGAAAGAGTGGAGCTTGTGCCGGCTGCGCCATTCCGAACACACTGATACAAAGTATTTCTCGGAGAGCGTTATATGCAAAGGGTCGGGGCGATAGGCGGAGCAAGCACATAATGGGGCGGGGTATGTGAGTTGATGATTGGACTATTTATTGGGGCGGAGCTTGTGTATAAGTGGGAAGGGCAAGTGTTTCGCGAAAGGGCGGGGTACGATTGTTGACGAGCGTTTCATTCTGGATGATCAAAATCACAATATGATAATTTCTTAGGGGGCGCGTTAGTTGATAGGCAGAGTTTGTAAGCAATGGGCTGGGCGAGAGGTGGAGAATGTGATTCGGTAAGTTTTTGTTACTTCTAGTACGTTCATTGAAATGTACGTGATGAGATAATGTCGTTAAATTATTTTTTGAACTGATTATGCATTTTACCTTTGTCACTTTACTTTGGTGCACAGTGAACGTCTGAAAGAGCTGCGGTCCATGTCCGACCGTCTCTGGATGCTGAACGATCACTCTTACCGCTCCAGACGTTGTTCCGTACGCTATTTCGATCCAGTTGCCACACAAATCTGTTGAAATTCAAACGAGATCATTTGAAATGAACGAAAAAAATAGGATTATATACTGTCAACGAACTCAATCAACGATTTGATATTACCTTCAAAAACGAATAATTTTATGTGGTTCAAGGATAGAGTTAATGTTGTATGTTCATAAATATGAAATGAGTAGGTATCAGTCACGATTTTTAAACACGGTACACGATTACCAATATGAAATGTCACATGTTGGTGAGGAAATGAAATATGAAACGAATATCAGTCACGACATTTACACAGGTTACAAGATTACCAATATGAAATGCCACATGTTGGTGAGGAAATGAAATCCAAAAATATTGTCAATACCAATTTTTCGCTTTTAAAGTAGGTAACCATTTACGAAAGCACTCTTAGGAGACTTGGTAGAACAAAAATCAATCAATCAACTTAATTTTGTAGACCATAAAAGGTATAAAACAAGTCACAAATTTATATTATATTTTATATATATAGGTACACATATAAGAGTAAGCACTAAACATATAATTTCATGAGTGAAACTTTTGAAAAATAGAGAAAAATAATAAAATTAGAACCAGTACTAGAAATCCAGAAACTCGTCTACTGTGTAGTAACACTTTTAAGGCAGGTCGTATTGTCTAAGAGAATTCCTGAACTTAACGTATGCTCCTTGTACTTTGATGATATTTGGAAGCTAATTACATATTCTGATACTACTAGATATTGGACCATTCAGTGCTATGTTCAAATTTTAGTGTTCAATTTTTTGATAACTTCCCTAACGTGTGGTTCTCAGTCAAGTGTGTCATTCATTGTGATGCCTAGAAATTTTACAATGTAAGTGTTGTTGATTTTATTTTGCCCAAGGTATACGTCCATATGTTTTCCACTCTTCTTTGTCGGGAATGATAGATTCGAAATTGTGTTTTGCTTGAATCAATATATTGTTTATAGAGAACCAACATAACATTTTTTCCATGAGTTCATTGCATGCTTCTTGATTTAGTTCTACGCATTCTCTTGATATCAAAAATGATACGTCATCTGCATATAGTGTAAGTTTGAATTCTGACAAGTATTCTATAATATCAGCAACATATATGGAGAATAGTATAGGAGTAAACGCTTTCCTGGGGAACTCCACGGGTGCTGAGGAAGAATAGTTGAATATTATCAATGAATATAATAGGTTGAGTTATTAGAGAAAGATACAGAACTTTCAATAAGCATACTAAGGTGAGGAATTTCCTATAACTATTCATGAAATGACGAATATTTGCTTTCAAGAGTCCAATATAAATTATACAGATGTAAAAAAAATTTCCGGCATATTGAATTTCACATGCATTTCAACTAAACTACTCAACACTAATTTCGTCGCACACCAAAATGTCGCCCCTGTTATAATGTGAATAACTTTTTTCAGTTTAGAACAATTTGAATTTGGTTCACACTGTTCGATAGCCCAGTCCTTCAGCTATAATCTGGTACTTCATTGAAACATGAGGGTATTCACATAAAATCTCTACATGGTGTTTTCCGACACTGTGCAAAATTTCGGAATATTCAAAAGGCTCTCAAATGGTGAAAAAAATGTTTTTCTCAACTTCGACAACAGAGGCATGAAGATGATCTCATTACCTCGAGATATTTCGCGAATCAACTTCCTATCTCTCTTATTTACAGAGTGATCTCAAAAAATCAACTTTTTGGTTTTGCAGCCATAACTTTTTTCCACGTCAACCGATTTTGAAAATCTTAGGCTCATTTTGAAGATAAAACTTCAGATGAAGAGATCTGGATATCAGAATTGACTCAAGATGGCTATCAAAGATCTAGAGTTTCCTTGAAAGTGACCCAAATCTGGAACGCCCTCCGAATCTCGGTTGAGAGGAGAATTGAATGAAAATCAACTTGTTCTCGGAAAAACAATTCATTCTGGATGCGTCCATATTTTCCTCGCTTTCAGTACTCAAGAATGTGCGTGAGAAAACACAATTGAAACATGTTCTTGCAAAAACATCAGACCATTTCGCCTCTGTAATGCATGGCCCGTAACCAACGTTACAAGAATCACAGTAAGTGACTGACAAGTCAGGTTAGACGTCGTTTTCGAATCATAAACAGATTTTGATAGTTTCGATGCCGCATTTAACGCCCGACCAGTTGGAACTGATTCCACAAATGAGGGAACAAGGGTTATCTTTCCTCCAAATCGCGGATCTGCTAAACACGACAGTCCGATCCATTCAAAGGGCGTATCTCCGACACGACTTGTTTGGTTATTACTGTCGATTCGTTCGGCGCATTATTGCGATTGAAAACTTTACGTAATTGGCAAACTGTTTTCGTGAAACTTTCACCATTTTTGAAATGCGTTTTTACAATAAATAAACGTTGTTTGCTTGAATACTTCTCCATATTCTTAAATCGCATGTTATGTACGTGACAACTGTTGAAAAAATCACTTTATTGAAAAAATCAAAATCCGTTGCTCTTGTTGGTACACCATTCATGATGAGCCTCAGCTGGTCGGGTTTGTCAGTCACTCATTGTGATTCTTGTAACGTTGGTTACGGCGGGTCATGCATTACAGAGGAGAAATGATCTAATGTTTTTGCAAGAACATGTTTCAATTGTGTTTTCTCACGCACAATTCTTGACTACGGAGAGCGAGGAAAATATGGACGCATCCAGAATGAATTGTTTTACCGAGAACAAGTGATTTTCATTCAATTCTCCTCCCAACCAAGATTCGAAGGGCGTTCCAGATTTGGGTCACTTTCAAGAAAACTCTAGATCTTTGATAGCCATCTTGAGTCAATTCTGATATTCAGATCTCTTCATCTGAAGTTTTATCTTCAAAATGAGCCTAAGATTTTCAAAATCGGTTGACGTGGAAAAAAGTTATGGCTGCAAAACCAAAAAGTTGATTTTTTGAGATCACTCTGTAAATAAGAGATAGGAAGTTTTTTCACCATTTAAGAGCCTTTTGAATATTCCGAAATTTCGCACAGTGTCGGAAAACACCATGTAGAGATTTTATGTGAATACCCTTATGTTTCAATGAAGTACCAGAATATAGCTGAAGGACTGGGCTATCGAACAGTGTGAACCAAATTAAAATTGTTCTAAACTGAAAAAAGTTATCCACATTATAACAGGGGCGACATTTTGGTGTGCGACGAAATTAGTGTTGAGTAGTTTATATTTCCCTCAACCAGTCGATCAGCACAAAGTGTTTCATTGATTGATGTATTTATCACCCCAAGAAACATAGGTGTATATAGTAGGGATACATAAACAATATACATAATGTTATACATACAAGTATGAAATAATAATAATATACAGGGTGTAACATAAGTACGTTGAAATATTCAAGACGTATTCCTGAGACAATTTTGAGAAAAAAATGATATGTAAACTTGCGTCTGAAAATGCTTCGTTTCGGAGATACAGGGTGTTGTAATTGAATTTTTTTTATCGCTTTTTCGAAATAACTTTGGCAAAGAATAAATTATTTGCACGAGATTTGGTACCTGAGGTTATTTTGATATAAGAAAGTGAACTTTTGGTACTTTTCATAAAAAAACCTTATTCCCACATGTTTTCCAAGTAAAAGAGGTACACTTCCTCAACAACGCTGGAGATGATCGTTTTCGAGATATTTACAAATTTCTATATCGATGCATGTAAGTAAACTAGCTGAGAACATTACAAAAACTAAGTTAGTATGTGTATGAGAACATTACAAAAACTAAGTTAGTATGTGTATGTGGTAAGTCTTGTCAAAATAAACTACTTTTTACCTATGGAATGTTTATCAAAAACTAATTTGTTTTCTGTATTTCAACACCCTGTATCTTCTATATGAAGCATTTTCGGACGAGTTTATATGTTTATATATGTATATATATATCTTAAAATTGTTTCAGGAATACGGCACTTGAATATTTTAACGTACCTTTATGTTACACCTTGTATAACAAGTGCCGACTTTATGAATGACACTGTATATGTTTACTCCACAATAGTCGTTCATCAATATAAAGACCTGAAATTTCTGTAACATCTGTATATTTGATGAGTTTATTGTTGAAGGATAGTGTTCTTTTTGCTATATACATATATTAGGATTTATTATAATTGAGAGTTAGTTTATGAACTGGTAGCCAAAATGATTTTCTCTGAATTACTTTTCATGTTCATGACAATATCATTTTAATCTTTGGAGAAATAAATCAATGTTCTCCTTTCAATTCCAAATTTGATATTGAATTTATGTCGATTTAAAATAATACTGGTCCCAAGACTGACCCTTGCGGTACACCGCATGAGATGTTCATTAAGGAGCTGCAATTATCACTCATATCAACATATTGCTCTTTATTTGATAGATATTTTTTCTATAACTTTTGAAAGAAACGGGAGAACAGAAATGGATCTGTAATTATTCATATCATCTCTCCTACTAGTTTTGTATACAGGCATTTCTTTCGAAATTTTCATTTTGTCACGAATAATTCCACTTTTATATAGGCGATGAATGATCAACTCTTTAACTGTAGGGTCCCTTGATGGAAATTGACGTGTCATCTTAACAGGGTACGGACAGATCCTCGTCTCCTCTCACTCTAAAGTGTTTGTGAAACAGTTATATAGTTCCATCCATATTCAATTCTGGGGATAAACACTAGATTTTAGACATTTGTTGTTTTTTAGGTTATATTGAGGTCATTGGTCATACGTGATTCCCATATGGAAATCTGATTCAACTATACCAAGATATATTTGAAAAATCCTATAGTTTTAGAGTTTACTACTACAGCATAATCTTTGCGAGGTAGGGAACATATAATTTGTACTAAAAGCTTAATATATTTCACCAAAAGAGACTGTTCTCAGACTGTATACCAGGGTTGACTGAATTTACTGAATGAATTCTGATTTCAAGCTGATAGCTGTAGTTTACCTATGAGCTGAATGAGCTGAGACAATGGTAT